ACTTATCTAAAAGCGGCCCAAAACAGAAAACACTACAAAGAAGAGAACATCAAGGACCCTGTTGATCTCACTACATGTTCTGCACTTGCAGGTCTGGAGGGTGTTTCTTGACCCCCCCCACCATTCGCTCATGCTCATCATATGGTTTCTTGTTTTAGGTCGTCCTACTCATACCCAAGCTTCGCCAGACAAATGCAGGAATAGTGGGTTGAGAACCCGGCAAATCCATGTGCTTGTTCTGGCCAAGGAAAAATATGTGCAACTATAGTACACATGCATGCATGGATAGATAGCCAAATTGGATGAGTCAATCAAGATGTGTTTTTACTATTATTATTTAAAAAAAAGGAGTATGCCCTCTCATCGCGGAGCTATTTTGCCAGGAGTTCCGCACCCAGGGAAACCTTCAAAACGAAAAGCCCTTGGTGTTTGAAAAACATGTCCTGCAACACCATTCAGGAGTTTGCTTCTGAGGGTACCCATTTTTGGGCTTGCTTTGTCTAAAAACAGAAAAGAAGGAACATCACCGATCTTTAGTGGGGCGTCTATGGAAAAATGGGGCAAACCAAAAGGGCACCACCCTTTATATTGTGTTGTTTTCTTTATTTTTCTTTTCATATTTTTTTTTTTGGGGGGGGGGCGCCCCATGAAATGTGAGATGTGTTCTTTTTTGGGGGTCCCCCACAAAATCCTTTTGATTGGCCCCCCGGCCGGCAGCTCCTCCTGCGCCAGCTTATGAAAGTCCTCTGCCAGGCGGACAACTGGGTTTCCTTCCAGCTGAGCCTCCCCAAAAAAAAGCGGACCCAGATGCGTTTTGGGGCGCGGACCCAGCTGCTGTTGGGGGATGGCGCTAAAACTTGGGTTGCAATCTGGTGTTAGCACCCGGCCTCCCTTGCCTGCCTCGGAGAAAGGAAGGAAAATACGAACATTCAACACCCAGGGTTGCCTATGTTGCCGTTGTCATCACCCCGCAAAGAAACTCGCTACACATAGCAATCAAACCAAACGGTGATGCTGAAGCCACCCATGAAGGCAGGAACACGGCAACGAGGGTCCACTTCTCTTTTAGAGTCCCTAGTTTGACAGGTCCAAAGTTCAAGGGGCCGCGCCCGTGTTTTCTTTCCCTCCGCGAATGCGCTGAGGCGACTTGGAGAACGTTTTTTTTCAGGCGGCCAAGGTGCCATTCCGAGACGTGACAAACGCGAAGACAAACTTTTCGGGGCGAGGACAAATCTGGTGGCAGAGACAAAATCGAAGACACGCTTTAGGCCTCTCGGACCGTAAATGCGCGCGGCGCGGTTTTTTTTTGGGTTCGAGCGTGAGCTTTGCGTCAGATTCGGAGGTCAGAAGCGTTCTAAGCGCCAGCGATCTGGAAGCCCTGATTGTTGGGTAGAATGATATCGGGCGCGGAGAGAGATTAGTTCGGATGTTAGGCATCGACGACAGTCGGATCCCTCTATTCTCATGTTCCTGCTGGTGCCCCCCTTCAAAACCCGTCATAGTATCAAACCCGCCAAGGATACCAAGCCGCAACACATCTCACACAAATCCGCCGACCCCATGCCTGGTCCAGAATGGACCATGCTTTCGGCATGGGGGCGGTGTGTTCTGTGTTGATTTTGTTGATATGCTTTCTATAAGTTTAATGTGAATATGATTATGTATATATATATATAACCTATATGTCCCTTGGGGCAGCCCTTGGGGCTGGTTTCTACGTCGGCTGGATTTCTGGATTTCTGGAATTCTGGATTTCCCCCCCCCTCCCCCCCACCCCGTAATCTTCCGTAATCTTTCGGCTTCTTCCAGTAGTCTTCCGTAGTCTTCCGTAGTCTTCCCGTAGTCTTCCGTAGTCTTCCGTAGTCTTCCGTAGTCTTCCGGCTTCTTCCCGTAGTCTTCCGAAATCTTTCAAGCTTCTTCCCGTAAATTTCCGCAATCTTTCCGGCTTCTTCTCCTAGTCTTCCGATACTGTTTCGGGACCAAACAACGCGCGTGTCCTGTGCTTTCGGGCTTCTTCCCTAGGCTTCGGGTAGTCTTCCCCCACCCCTCCGCCCCGCCCCCCACTGTGTCTGTCTATGTCTGTCTACGTATCTGCATCTGTCTTCGTGTCCGCGAAGACCCCCCCTGCCCCTGCGTGTCTGTCTGTGTCTCTTTGTGTCTGTCTGGGTCTGTCTGCGTCTGTCTTCGTGTCCTCTCTGTCTCTTTTTGTCTGTCTGTGTCTGTCTGTGTCTGTCTGTGTCTGTCTGTGTCTGTCTACGTATCTGCGTCTTTCTTCGTGTTCCCCCCCCCCCCCGTGTGTCTGTCTGTGTATTTGTGTCTGTCTGGCTCTGTCTGCGTCTGCCTGCGCATCTGCGTCTGTCTTCGTGTCCGCGAAGACCCTCCCCCCCCCGCTGCGTGTCTGTCTGCGTGTCTTTGTGTCTGTCTGTGTCTGTCTACATATCGCGTGCTTTCTCTCGTCCCGGGCCGAAATTCTAAGGTGTGTGGGGGCGGCGGAACCAGGCCGCAGGCCATTAAATAACACAAGCTTCCAAAAAGATTCCAGGCGCGTGCGGAGTTAAAGAACACAGGACACTGGACTTGAAAGTTGAGCTTCTCCCAATGGATCCCCTTTTGGTCGATAAACTGAGCCGGACTTCGACCTGCAAAAGGTTAACTGGCTGAAAGGGGAAATGATGGAACACCAAAAAGCCAAAAAGGTTGAAAAGAGGTCGGTCCATTGGTTCAGTCGGGAAAGGGGGAAACCAAACAAAGGAAGCCGACCATGTCGGCCTTCGCTTCCTAGCACCCCTATCACCCGAATATATCGATCCGATTCGAGCCGTCTCCTTGGCCATGCTCTTGCAGTGGGAGCACCACGGGGCGAAGAACCTCTCCGAAAGTCGCGGGGTGAGTTCCCGCAGGTAGGAAGTTTTTGCTTGCTGCAAACAAATGCAGGGCATGATACATGGAACTACCCCAAGGAAAACCATCCAACTGTTGGTTTCCTTTAAGGGGACCAACCCCTGGGTTCAGTTCCCTCATTCCCCCAGCAAGTTTGGTGGGTCCAGGTTGCCGATGCCCCGTTTCCCCCAAAATTGCAGTGCAGGGCGGTGAAAGACTACCACCTTCCGAGGCCATGATTATAGGACTTGGCTGCAAATCGAAATGGGGGGACCTTGGGTTGCAGGCACCATCCGTTTGGGGAATCATGGCTCCAACCCGTTGGGCCCCAACCCGAATTTGAGACCAAAAACCCCAAGCAGCGAGCGAGCAACGGGGCCCGGGCTTCACAAGGATCGGGCCCTCTTGGAGCACTTTGTCCACGTTCGTAGACTCGGCCGTCGGCCGGGCCGAAGCAAAAGGCACGGCGACTTGACAGCGCTCAGGCCGGAAGGATCAAGGCCAACCAGCATAAGCAAACAAACAAACACAACAAAGACCTGGAAAGGGGGGCGTTCACATGTGTAAAGCAATCCAAGAGAGAAAGAGAGAGAGAGAGAGGGACAGAGAGAGAGAGAGAGGGAGAGAGGGAGAGAGGGAGAGAGGGAGAGAGGGAGGGAGAGAGAGAGGGGGAGAGGCAGAGTGCCAGCAGCGCATTTCAAAGTTCTGCTACCACAGCAAGGCAAGTTCAAACAAATTGCTGAGCCAGCAGCGTCCACGTCGATCCAGCCCCATTTGCCCTCCTGCCGACGTTAAGCTAGCGGGCACCAGTCACAAGGCGTCAGGGAGGCCACAAACAAACAAACAAAGGAAAGCAAAACAAAACAAACAAACCAAACCAACCAAACAAACAAATAAACAAACAAATACGCAAGCAAGCAGCAAACCAACAAACAAAACAAAACAAAACACTGATGATTACAATAATGACGCTGACTACTAGACAATATGAATATTGCTATCACAAATAGCAAACAGAATCGAACACAATCAATAAACATGGCAACGCCGACAACACCAACTAATTGTGCTGCGATTGAAAATAATAACAGCATCACCAGTCGCTCAAGCTGATTGTCGCAGCCTTGCTTTATTGCCTCGGGCAACTTCCCCCAAGCCCAGTCTCCTCCACCGCCCCTGCCACGGCAAAAACGGCCAGCAGCGCAGCAGCCAGCGCCATGTTGATTTCTCCCAAGGGCAGAAAATGCTACCCCTGACTCGCGGAAGGCTGGGGGGGCTGTTGACTGTGTTTCCTGGGTTCTCAGGGCTTGGCTGGCAAAACGCGACGATTTGCAGGGGACATCTGTCAATCTCCATCATGCGGAGGGGCTGCGCTGCTTTATTCTGGCACGTCAGACTTGCGGAAAATAGCTTGTGGCAATGGACCGCACGCGTCTTCGGCCAGTACCGCATCGGATGCGTCTTTGTCACCTCGGACCAGCTGGATCCATCGGAAAAAGCGGGGCAAACTGGCAAACCGCCTCGGCAAGCTGTGCCACGGATTCAAGTGAGATGCAATGGCACACCTCATACATGAGCTGCTAAAGCTCGGAAGAACCATACAATCAGCTCTCCAAGGGAGGAGCATTCTCCTAACTTGGCCTGTTCCCCAAATCACAGAACGTCTTTTAACAAGAGATGACTGTTGACCCAACACGCTAAAAATACTGCTTGATTCGGATCTCGGTGCTGACCCTGGGCTGACATTGGTGCAAGCCCCGCCCAAATCATCCCGGGAAGGTTCAAGTCTCAAGATTCGGGTTTCCAAGTGGCCAGTTGCTTTAGACCGTCCCCAAAAGGGGTTGGTTCATCAAAGTTGGGACATAAGTGTCAGAACGTGCACTGAAAACGTCGGAAACCGAGATCGCTTTCCTGTCATCGGCCCTGCAGCCTGATTCTCGAGACCCTTCATGGGCACTGTTCGTCTCCAAAAGGACACGATTTATCAAGAGAACATAGAGAGAGAGAGAGAGAGAGAGAGAGAGACAGAGACAGAGACATAGGCGGAGACAAAGATTGTCTTTTCCTTGCCCCTTTCTCCCTTTCTCCCAGGTGCGGCACAAAAAACAGAAAGGTTTTTTCACCACCACTCGTGGCTCCTGGGGCAGTTCGCTCCGTCCCAGCATTGGCCTATCATGAACCACTTGCAGGCCACCCGAGGCCTCGGGCGTGCGGCGAGATCTGATGAGGGTGAAGGCAGAGACCCAGAAACAGCCTCTAACATTGATCTTAATTGCTGTCGACGCCCTGCAAAAAGCTTAACCTGTTGTGGGTTCAATGGAAAACCCTTGATTTCCCGAAAAGTGGAAGTCCAAAGATCCAGCTCAATGGCAATCAAGTGAGGTTCGCCACCGCAATCACTAGAAAGCTTCTCGCTCTCGGAGATGGGCATCATGGGACATGTCCACAACCCTGCCTATCAGCAGTGAACTCGCAAAAACCACCAAGGTGTTCCACCCCATTTATTAAAAAACAAGTTCTTGCTAGTCTCACTTTCTGAGTGGATTGGCCAAACCCAAAAAAAAATGTTATCACTAAGATGGTCTTCCCAAAACGGATAAAGTCCAGGAACTCAGCAAAGCTTGGACAAGATCAGGCCCAAGACGCTGTTGCCCTCAATTGTGAACTCGGAAGATCGTCAGTTGTCAACTAGGGCTAGTCGGACGCTGTCTCGCAAGCCTGAAACAAATGCACGCTGGCTTCCTTCCACTTTCCATCCAGCGCACCAGGAAGTTCACCTGACGGGACAACGGAACGGCTGGGAACACGAATCATCACTGAGAAGGCCGACGTTCCAACCAGTTGCTGCAAGGTCATTGATTCAGGGGGATGTGTACCCAGTCCCATGCTGCCCCACACACTGCTTGACGCTGAAGGCTTTCAGCTGCTTGCACCCATCTCCCGGTGTCAACTTTGAGCGGCCCAAAATGAGTTCTACCAAATGGAAACCCGTTCCACAGACACTTCGGGGCTGGAACCCTGGAACCCTGGAACCCTGGACCCCCGTCTCGGTTCTGACTGGGCCCCCCGGCCGCACGTTCCGCGGCGCGCCGAAGGCCGCCGGGCGCTTGCCCGCGGCCTTCGGCGCGGCCGCGCCGGGCGCCTGGGGCGCCTCCGGGCTGGGGGCCGGCGCGGGCCTGGCGTTGACGAGACGGGCGCGGGGTTGCGCTCTTTGGAGGTCTCGCCTCTCATGGGGGGACATGGACACGTGGCGTTTCGAGCCCTTCATTTCATGCACGTGGATTCTTGCCAGACTCGAGGAGTTGGGTGCGTGCACATCTGCAATTTGATGGTTGAGACGGGTGCCTAGTGAAATGTTGTCAGTCTGCTCCTCGTCCGATGTCTAAACCAACCCAAAAAAGAGCACCGAGCCACACACACACACACACACCTCGCCAGGCGCGTGGCCAACTGCCTGGGGATGCCACTAGGACTTGGATAGCCGAGGGATGCTTCGATGTCGATGGACAGACTTTTTGAGTGTGGTGTGCTGAATCAAGCATCTTCCCTTCATGCTGAATCAAGCCTGCAGGCAGTTGCAAGCTTGAAACCGACCTTGCCTTTCACCCGGCAAAGCAAGCTGCGCATGCCACGCGCGCCAGGTGTCATGAGTAACCCAAACCATCAGCTGCAGATTAATCCGAGATGGGTTTAGAGAGATCCGCCTCTTTTGTCCAGGGAAGCAATGAGACATGGCTCCCAGCTCCGCCTCGGAAGCTGCGCCAGCCACGAGTCCAAGCAGGCGGGGCCTGGCCGGAGCCCGGGAAAGCGGCCAACCCAAGCTGAAGGGCTGGCAACTGACTCTGCCTGTCACCACTGGGGTCCCCCTTTGTTGGCGGAGTGGCTCTCCGAGCTCGATCCGTCTGCCGCCAGACTAGCCCCATCTAGACCGGGAAGACCGACAGCGGCTGTGCCTTGGGAGCTACTTGGCAACAGAACCAACACCGTCCAGCGAGCTATTGACGCACGTTGCAACCATTCGGGCGTGTCTCCAAAGGCAGCGATTCCTTGAGGCTTCCTTTTGAACCATGCAACACGACCCATGCGAACTTCTGGAGTTGATGGGTAGGGTCCTTTTGACAGCTCGAGAAGTTTGAAGAGGAGGCCTACACTTGAAATAGAAAAAAGGCCACCTTGGTGTTGAAAAAATGTTCTAAATTGCTTAAACCTCCTTATAGTCTCCTTGTGAAGGGCACCAGAGTGCGGTTGTGTCAACTAGGTTTGCCAACCCACGGCATCAAACCTCTTCCCCGCCTCTCTCCTGAGCTCGCAAGCGCTGCTGGGCTGCCTGCGCCCGCTGCAGCACCACATCCCAGCAACTCGCCCGCGCTGACCGCGCCACGTTCTCCGAGGTGCCTCGACTCCGCTCGCTTTCGGCGCGCGCCGTTTGTTTGGCCAAGGAAGCGGCCGAAAGGCGATGCTTCGCCGGCAAAACAGGGATCCGGGAAGGTCATAGCAGACACTCCGAGAGATTCATGTGAAACTTAAACTCTCAAGTCTTGGGCAAACTCCAAGCGACGTACGTGGCTGCTTTCGACAGGGAGGGTTTCTTATGGTTGACTTTTTAGAATCATCCAAACGGGAGCGTCTTGTCCGTATGACTAAAGAACCAGTATGTATAGAGAATCGAAGGCTTATCCATCCATGACAGATCATTTTGTCTGATCAGGGCATGCTATCCAAATCACAAGTGCTTCACCTCAAAGTTCTGTGATGGTTCAGTCCATGCCCCATGTGAACTATCTAGTTTCAGACCACCCGTCGCCATTCAATACCTGTCACCTTGGTGTTCCCTCTGCACGTTCCAAAATAATGCCTGTCAAGCAGCCAATCTGAAAAACTGACCTCGCGTCTACCAGCAACCTCCAAACCTGCAAGCCTCCAAACCTGCAAGCCTCCAAGCCTCCAAGCCTGCTCGCCGCCCCTTAGCTGTGCCATCTCAATCGCAGGCGGGCCGCTCTTGAAGACGCGCGCCCCAGGGTCCTCCACGAAGATGGGGGGAGCCCCGCCATCTGTGGGCCTAAGGCGGTCTCTGCGCTCCTGGGGTTGAATTGGGTCCCCACCTGACATTGCATTTGATGAAACCCTAGGTCCTAGTGTTCGAAAAGCGCGTATGTCTTCCTCCGCAATAGGAGTTATTGACCGTGGCTCACATGTCAATCAGCTTGACAAAACTTCAGGCCCCTGCAGGCGCGGGACAAAAAACTTCCAAATCCCCAAAGGGGAGTTGACCACAACTCCGGGCAGGGCGTGGCAATACGTTCGATCCACAAACGGGGCGGTCGTTTTGAGGCAGAGCCCGTTTTTGGGGGGTGTCTCAAGGGGAAGCCAAAGGGGAGCATAAATTCACCAAACACTATGGGCAGCGCCTAAACGGGGATTTTGACCAAAAGCGACCTCCCATCGAACCAGGCTCCATGAATTCCGGGGTCTGATCTTTGTCAAAGGGGATAAGCTGCATGACTCCCGGCCGGCGCCAGCAGGTGCAAGCAAAACTGCCCTACAGCAAGGTGGCAAAGCTAAAGCGCAACGGGTGGCCAGCGTCCCTTTACAACTAGAGTTTGGCGCATCTTCTTCTTTTGGATATCGTTTTTCGGACAGGGGAACCTCCATGTCCTTCGACAAGGGGGGGTTTCTCTTTTAAGCCACACGCCATTTTCGGGCGAGAGCAGCCGAGGCCCCCGGCACCTCGATCAACTTACCCTCGACCAGGGACATTGCCAGGGCGCCTGGAGGCACAAGCGAAAGCGACCGCCAGAGGAAAAGATCTGCGCCAAGTAGGTGTATCCCATTCTTTAAACGGGGTTGCATTCATCCGGAATCTCTCCCAATAAAAAAGGAAGGCGTCCTTCGATTTTCTTGCATTTAGCACATCCGCAGCAAGGGCACCCGGGAAAAGAAAAGGCACGCCGCACGGGCTAACAACTCAAAGGCCACTTCAAACAGAAGGAATCAACCTTCCATACTCCTTTCACTCTGCTGTCGGGGTGATGGTTTGAAGGCCCATGAATCCAATTCACCCAATGAAAATCCTAACAGCACAATTCGCCTAATCGCAAAACAGTTGACCTCAATCCCTCCAAACGGGTGTTTTCACTTACCAAGTCTCAAGTGAAGTGACCCATTCCGCATGTCCTTCCGCTGGCAAACGAGGAGCCAAGTCGCCAACTGAGCCATTGCAAGGTCTCTTCTTAGCATTGGTGTAATTCCCATGGATTTTTGAAACGCCCCTATGCTGTTCAAATCTTTGCTGATCTGGTTTTGAGGATAGTAGATAAGCCTGACGTCTTGATAATTCATTTGAATTGATATCGGTTGCGCACCAGAACACACCCTAACTTGGTGTAAAGAGGCAACATACCCAGTAGCCCTCCAAACCATTTTGCTAGTGACACTCCAAGCATCCATTTCAAGGCATAGAGAACAAAAGGTGCACGCCACTCGTCCAATTCTCATTCGGGTTGTCTCCTCAGCGCCCTGAAACGCCCTGCGCCCCAAACTCGGGGCTGATGGGCTGGAGGGCTGGAGCTGGCTGTTGTCAGCTGGCTTTTGCGAAAAAGCCAGACATCCCCGTGGGGGGTGGAATCAGTTCACTTGCGTCAAAAAACCCAAAACAACGAGCATAAAACATATGGCTGCATCTATTGCAGATCAAGCCCAAAAAAATTATCTTGTATTTTCTTGCAATGCTATTTAGAACTAGAGGCTTCAAGTACTTTTTGAGCAAGCAAATTGATCCACCCCACTTCACAATCGGCGCAGTTCCGTCCGCCCGGCCCGGATGGCCCGAGAAAGCTGGAGTCACAACTCCGTCAGGTCGTCTGAGCCCAGCACAATCCGCTTTGCCAGTGCCCCTTGCGCAGATCTTCGCTGTTTCTGACAACCAAACCTGAGCTCTTCTTGGTCACTGCATGGCTTAAATTACTCAAGTGAGTCTCTTCATGTCTGAAATCTCCGGCAAGATCGAACACTTGATCTGCAACTGTGTATTACCCTGCTTGACGAAACAAATGCGAATTCGATGGTAGCCTTGAGGTCGCTTTTACCACAAAAAGCGAAATGTATCTTTATTGGTATGCACTGCATGACAAGTCTGCGTAGCATAAGCATCCTCCGCCTCATCTGGGAGTATGGTGCAGCTAGATTGGCATGTGCGCAAACCGGGCTGTTCCGTATTTTTGCCCTCTGGGCAAATCGATGGAAAATGGTTCCCATAACTCCGTCCGTATCCCAAACCTACATGCGAAGAATTTGTGTCAGAAGGAGTTGGACCTCCAAGAGTTGGTTTCTTGTTGACCGTCGCTGGTGTCCCATCAGTTTTTTAACCTTCAGGTGGCCAAACGGATAACAAATGTAAATAAACAAAAACATTCTGCACACCCAGGCAAAGGGCACGTCTGAGAATTCGGGACCACTCCAAGTTGTTTCATAGCTTGCTTTTCGGAGTTCTTAGTTCTGACGCATTAAGAAGGACAACGGATGTGCAAAAGTAGCGAGCCCCAATTTAGATGATTCAAGAAGGAAAATCGGGCGTGTTCTACCTACATGCTTATAAAGGTTTAGGGAGCGCTTGCTAAGTGGGTGTGGGTGCTGCAACTGGTCTTGCCCGAAACGGATCGAGAGCGCTTTGCTTTGCTGCCTGCCTCACAAAGACATGAGGGTGTTTCTCTAACTGGGCTGTTCAACATGGAGTCTTGGCCAATCCTAATCCATCTCTATTGGAAAACCACTCATTCGCCAGCAAAGGGAGGGCTTAAGGATTGCCTGAGAACAGCCCGCATGAAAATACAGCAGGGGGTGCCCCTAAATGCTTGGTGTCCTTTGGGCTAAGGCCCCAGCTGGACAAATCAACACTGGGGGAAGGTGGATAATTCCCTCTTTTGCGCACCGACCCACGACATATCCATCCAGTTTGGCTAACCGTGCCACGGCAGCAAATTTGTTTTCCCCTTATTTGAAAAAGAGGGCCCAATTCTTGGCTGGGAAAGCAGAGCTCCCCTTCGGCGCTGGGGCCAACCAACGCCAAACGGTGCTCCCAATTCGGTTTCCCAAGCCCAAAAGGGGGGGGGGGGGGGCGGGGGTAAGGATCCCATGTCGAGAACCTCGAAACAAGCCACAAAGTGTGGGACATGAGTGCCACGAGCCCTTGCGTTTTTGAGGCCTCTTGGACACCTTCAGGGGGTGTTTCTCTCTGGAAAAAAAATGGTTTGCCTTCGAGTGCTTGGCGTTCCTGTTGGCTTCCCTTAAATCAGCATCCTTCGAATTGGTGGTGTGGAGCCCGGTGGAGGAAGGATTCCCCATGTAGCCTCTAAAGCCAGGGGTTCAAACCCCAAACCAATCCAAACCATCAAGCAAGGGTTACTGGATAAACCGGGAAGCCCCAATTTTGAGAAACACCCATGCCCACTGTGCCACTCTCTGACGGACTCCGGCTCCCATGAGGCATACCCGACGTCTTGCTTAAAAACGCCAGACTCGCCGGCCAACCGGAAACTCGCACGGTGTGGTACCATGGTTCAAGGGCGGTGCTGTTTAACATGTGGCTACTTTGAAAGGATTGGAACATATGAGTTTTGTTTCTTGGGAACCGCCTTTTGGTTAGGTTTGAAAGAAAATCAAGAGAATACCTTATCCATTTTGGGGATAATCCAATTTTGAGATACACGCATGTAAGGAAGTTTGACGAATGGGCTGCCCCCACACACACACAAAGACTTCACTTCCCAGATACTCTCCCAAGACTTCGAACCCTAGCCCAAGCTGATGCTAGGAACTGATGTCTAAATTGAGCACCTTGACAAAGTGGATGGGCCCAAGTGACTGATGTTGGGTGTTCCCAACAATAGTACCAACAACACACAAAAATAGTTGCCTCCCCTGTACACGGCATGCAAATTTGGGCAATTTCAGGTGGGTGAACTGCACTTCAGCCTGAGCCGTGAGGACAACGACTCCCACATTGCCCGTCTGTTTGTTCTAACTTTCGCGGATGTGGTGGTGTCAAAACGAATTGGAGCCTTTGGCGCGTTCAAAAGTGACCCAACGTGAGTCGTGGTTGAAGGGCTTCGTAGATTACAAGCCCGAATTACAGTGTTACTATCGCCCCACGATCACGACCTACTTTGGCAAAAAGTACCCGGGAAGACCAAAAAATAAAAATCCGCAACATCACGTAGGGGGTTCTCTAAATCGGAATCGGACCCCTTTTTGCATGGTTTTAATGAGACACCAAAAGGAAACCACCTATCTGCAGGATTTGGTCCCCCTTTCTTGAGAAACACAATCTCGCCATCAGCCAGGGCACAAAGAACTCCAGCAAGTGCTGCTGGATCAACGCCTCGCCAACGTTCGAGTCGTGTCGCTTGGGGAACACGGGGGCAATACCGGACCCCAGGGGTAATGGGCAAAAAAGGCACAAGACCCCCCTGAAATAAAAGAAAAGAAAAGAAAAAGGACCACTGGCGTTGTCTGGGGATTCAACTAGCAGGGCTACACCTTGAGAGTGCAGCCTCGTTGCCAGCAGTACAAGTACCATGCCTTGAACCTGCCGAGTGAGAATGCGCCTTTTCAGATTTAGGCCCAAGGGAAACGAGAAGCCCTGAAACATGCTGTAATCTTCTCGGCCGCGAAGTTGTATGCTTCCCCATGGGCACGGCATGTGGCTCAAGCAGGACGGTCAGAGCCCCGCGGTTCCGTGGCGCGCATGCTTGGTGCGCCGTCAATGGAGAGATGGCACCCGAATTCTGGAAGGCATTCGCCGAAATTAAACTTGGCCGCCATCACTCCAGTGACGACGCATCCCAACATACGGCCGGCAGAAACAGCCGAGCAAGCACAAATGAATGATGTAGCCAGCTCGCATAAGGATGTCATGTTCGAAACAGTCCCCCGAAAAAGCCTCATTAAATTCCACTTAATGGTCCAATTGCAGGCTCACTGCTGCAAACAGGACATCCTTAAGGATATCAATGATATCAGTATTGGGTCGAGCATGGGCAGAACGGCAACAGCCTTTTCACTGGCTGTGCACAACTGAAGGTAGGCAGGCAGCAGCAGCACCAGCTGGCCACACTCCGATGAGCTACACTTGTCCTGGTCACGTTGCAATCACCAGTCTGATCTAGGATTGGCACTCGACTGCAGGTGTCAGAATCATGCTCCGCAGGCGAGTTGCTGCAGGTACCCTCGTCAAAGGACACTCTAACACGAGCAACCGCCATCAATGTCATTTGTCATCTTGGTCTTCGCAGGTCGGACTCGAGAAGCTCGGCGATTGAGATCCATGCGCCCTTGCAAACGGACGTAGACATGGCTGTCTTCAGCACGAGAAAGCCTGCAAATTGCGCAGTGTGCGTTTGCGCGCGCAGCAAATTGCGGCGCGGCTGCAGCAATGCGCTGCGCTGCAAATTGCGTTTGCTGGTGGTACGCAATTTGTAGAGCAGCAACTTGCACCTGAGGTGTGCGGCGCCGCGCAAGTTGCACCACCAGCAAACACAATTTGCATCGCAAAAGTTTGCTGCAGCTGCGCCAAGCGTGCCGCAGCCGACGCCGCAGCGAATGCACACAAACTTAAATTGCATTGCAACGCAGTTGCGCGCGGATTGCATGCGCAAGGTCGCGCACGCAACTGCACGCTGGCAAAATTGCACTGCAACGCAGCAGCGGCCGCCGTTGTAGATCAGAAATGCCGCGCCTCTAAGATCTGTGAGATTCTGTGAGACACTCACAAGAAGTACGGGTCATGAGTGGTGTGCAGTCAGCACAAGATGCAGGGTCGGGTTCCACTCTGCTCAGCTTTCATCAAAAGCCAGCACTGCCGAATGCCCAACTTTTTTGTGGTTCCGCTCACATCGCCACACCAAAAAAGGCTCAAGCTCACTTTACCGATAGGTGTACGATGCTTAAACTCCGTGAATTCCATAGGCACCGCACTCTTGGGTCACAAGCCTGCTCTCAACACCCAAAAAAGACCGGAAAGCTGGTCAAGGAAAACGAGAGGAGGACCCGAACGCCGACTCATGAGTTCCCCGGCCGAGCCTGATTGCACTTTCGCCTTGGCTCCGGAACTGCCAGCATGGCCAGCAGGAAGCCCACCGAGTCCTGCCAAAAAAAACTGGAAGGCCAAGTCTGGGCAAGAGCGGGCACTCCGTGTTATCATCTGGGAATCTGGGAACACTGGGAAGCCCATACACGGTAGTTTCCTTTTGGCTCCCCCTTAAAACTACTGTAACAAACAGTTTGCTACGTAGCCGTAGGACCTATGTAGTGCGAATATTGCCTCACTATGAGTGTTTTTGCGCGGGCACGCGACGCATGTAAATGTTGTTGTGGAAAGGCTTGGGCGTGAGCAGCTTGCCATTGCTGGCGCTGCACCACACGTTCTGAGACTCCCTTTACAAGCAACATCCTGCATTATTCTGTGCGCTGCGTGCTTGTCCAGTTTGAATGGCGCTGTACAGCCGAGCTTGACTTCTTGCGAGTTAGAAATACTCATGATGTCCCCCAATCGCATGTTGGTGAGCAACCTCAATTGCCTGGTGGCATTTGTCCATCGTGATGCATGCCACCCCCTCACAGTAGATGATGGTACATAGTTCCCGTTGCTCATCCACGCTTCGATGGCATCGCTTCCACAGTCTAGGGCATGCCTCGCAAACAAGAATTTCATCCAAACACCATCCGCCAACTCAAAACAGATCAAACAACTCCAGCTTCAAACGCAACTGTGTCAAAAGGGCATGAGATTGCCGCAGGCAAGTTTTGTACTGAAACCAAAAAAACAAATATTTGCCACATAATTGCACGAAGGAATGGGATACTATTGGAGTGATGACGCCATGCCATTGTGGGATGACTTGCGCGTCAGGTTCATAGTAACAGGCAGCTACCCTTGCGAGATTCCCCGGGAAGTTTGAAGCCAGGATATACTACACCGTCGGCGAGACTGGTCAAGGGTACAAGGGCACAATAGAATATGGGCGTGCCCGAGTGTCAAAGTCAAGACTCCTTTCAAACGACTGCCTTCACATCGGACAAAATGCACGCTCAAGTTGATCGGTTTGAATGCCTCAACCACGACATTGCCCCAAGGGCCCCCCCCCCACCCGGAGGGGTCTTAGAAGAAGGCCTGCAAGAACCATCCCGGTGGGTAGGGCGGGCCTGATTCGCCCAACTTTCTCAATGCTTGACGCCCCTTTGGCTGTCTTTTTGACCGGAAAAGGTCGCAGGATCTTTGGCCAACATGGTGAAAGTTTTCAAAGGGCTCGTGATTATTATTTGCATATGGGGCCATGTCGCGGTACTAGAATAACTCTACGACAAATACGACGTACAGGTTGATCAATATTCACCGTGCAACTCTCATAAGTAGTAGACTGTTAGAAAAACATACGGGAGAACTCCCGATTATCTAAAAACAATCAACTCGCAGCAAGGTGGCTTTCTGTGTTTCTTGCTTTCGCTCTAACAGTTTCAAGACTGTTGCGCCTTTTAGGCAATCTTCTAGAAATGTGTTTGTTCGAGCATGTCGCCTGGGCACCACGACATGGCAGGCATGCAAAGAGTTGCGAGCCTCCGAACAACCCTAGGCCCTCTCGTCCGTTCTCGCAGTCCTTGCTCCAGCGCCGGTGCTCGTCCAGCTTTTTGGTCTGGATGCAAAAGAAGAGGACGATGAGGGTCCAGCCCAATGAGCCTCAGAATGAGAGTAGGTTGAGGAACCTCCGATCCAGCAGTCGCTGGGGAACACAACTTGCCAGCACACTTCCCCCCCCCCAACAAAAACAAACAAAAACGAAGAAACAAACAAACAAACAAGCCAGCAAGCAAGCAAGCAAGCAAGCAAGCAAGCAAGCAAACAAAACAAACACAACAACCAAAACAAACCGACAAACAGACAAACAGACAAACAGACAGACAAACAGACAAACAGACAAACAGACAAACAATTCAATCAATCAATCAATCAATCAATCAATCAATCAATCAATCAATCAATCAATCAATCAATCAATCAATCAATCAATCAATCAATCAATCAATCAATCAATCAATCAATCAATCAATCAATCAATCAAACACACAAACAAACAAGCAAACAAGTAAATAAATAAATACACAAATAAACAAACAAACAAACAAACAAACAAGCAAGCAAGCAAACAAACACACAAGCAAACAATCAAATACGCAAATCAAACCAACCAAGCCAATCAGCCAGCAAACAAACAAACAAGCAAAACAACAACTTAGATTAACAACATCGTTAACCAAAAAACAAAGCAAACAAACAACCGACACACACACACACAAACACACACACCCACCCACCCACCCACCCACCCACCCACCCACCCATCACCCCGCCCGCCCACCCACCCACCGCCCGCCCCCGCCGCGGCCCGCCCGCCCCCCCCGCGCCCGCCGCCCCCCGCGCCCGCCCGCCCCCGCGCGCGCGCACGCACGCACGCACGCGCACGCGCAGGCGCAGGCGCAGGCACAGGCGCAGGCGCAGGCGCAGGCACACGCACACGCACACACACACACACACACACACACACACACACACTTGTGCAGTCCTCCCTCTGCAATCTGATTGCTCCGCTGTACACGAGGGATAAGACTAACCACTGTGGGTTTGTCTTTTTGCTTTCTGCAAAAAGAAGATCGGACAGAATCTGCCCGTGAGATATACATCTAAATGAGACACTTGGGTCGCAGGTACGCTGAACAACCGAGCGGTGTAGTGTTCAGAAAAGAAAGCTGTCAGTGACACCGTCTTCGTTGGCACAGGAACCGAGCAACACACCTGTGCCCCCTGCTGTGCGAAAAGTTCCTTGATGTGCAAAAATCTCGAATGGTCACTCCGCGAATCAGAGTCTCCTGATTCAGAGATCATACGCCGTGATTCCCCGCTATGCAAAAGTACAATGATGTGTAAAAAGATTGAAACACCTCTCCGCGAATCAACGTCTCCCGATTCAAACCTGGTGCAACATCGGGGGAACTGCCTGCGTTACTAAGTGTCAATGGGCTAAGCCGCACTATGAAACAGGAGTACTGTGCAATCACCTGGATGTGCAAAAATCGTGAATGGTCACTGGCGAATCAACATTCCCTTGGCTCACAGGGGTGTCCACACACACAAGAATCGGCCAGTAAGATACTGACAAACACATTGAAAATGGCCACTGCAGGCAGTTTGAGGGTTCAGGTTGCCAAGGTTCGTTTCGAAAGGCAGTCCCTAGAATCATTACATTCCAAGTTTCCTTCAAAAGGTCTTCCCTTACAGTCCCCCCCCACCATCCATGCGCTTCGCCCCATGCGCCAAGAAGCTGATGAAACCGTCCCACGCCTGCGCAAAAACGCACGCGACGAAGCCCAAGTGGACCGGACTCATTGCTGTGAGGCTTATTTGCATGAACCGGGTGTGTGCCGCCCAAAGCAGAGTTCCTTACATTTCCCTTGTAGCATCACAGAGTAATGAAACTTGCTGGCCCAAAAAGGGAGAAACATTGAGAACCCTAAACGGTTCCTAAACCCGGAGTGATTAAGGGGTGGGCCTAACATGGCAACCTAAGTCTCGCTATCTGAAGACAAAACTGTGGAGAAAAAAATGCCAGCGGCACAAAAAACCGGCGCTCTGAGATTGGAGTTGCCCTCCTTAATATCCTCGCACGAAGCTCCCTTTGTCCAGGGGGCGACAAAAACAAAAACGAGGACTGTTTGCGCTTCGGGAGATATGTATTTTTGAGACAAACCGAGCCGAGAATAGCTTCTGGCCCCATCATGTTCAAAGTCACCCACAAGAACGAGCCCACTTCCTGAATTGGATAAGTGCATCTTTCCAACAATGGAATACAGGGAGATTGCCTTGCAAAGGAGTAGTCTGGCATCACACCTTCTCAGCTTCCATGATTGGAGGGCGAGGGGGTGGTAGGGGGGGGGATTACTCTCAGAGGTCAACATGGGAAGGGGCGTGTGTCAAGGCACAAAATTGGGGACCTTGTCAGGTGGTTCATCTGCTTTTGGCTTGTCCTTAAAACCACAGGGTGCCGAGTTTGAGAAACATAGCAAAGCAGTTCCGACAACTTGAGAAACACCCATAGCAACAAATAGAACCATGTTGACCAAGCCATGTAAAATCCAACAATTCGAGAAATTATATGGCAACCAACCATGCGCTGGTAAAACAAAAAGAACACAACATCTGGAACCAAGATCTAGAACGAAGGTACCAACATGAACCAGTGTTGACTCACGCCTTTTTACCCGGCGGAAAAAAAAGAGAAAAAAAGAAGAAAAACAACGTTGCTCAGCCTCTCGGCAATTGGCGGTATAAATTCTTGCCAGGGTTGCCTGATGTATTTCTCCGCCGCCCCCCCCCCCACCAAAACAAAAAGAAGAAAAAACACCCTCACCCAACAAGTATCACCCGAAATCGGCGGCAACCCGAGTTCCCGCAAAAAGGAGAAAAAAAGAGAAAAAACAACCAAGGCCTACTTAACCTGACGACTTACAAAAAATCCGCGGCCGCCGATGCGCCTTGTGCAGGCGCTCCAGACGCGCCCAGGTCTTCACCAAGCGCAGCAAGTCCACCACCATGGGCCTACGGGCGAACAAAAATCCCCTTTGGTTCGTTGAGAATTTACCGGTGCTGTCCAGTGGAAAACAAAAGAAAACACATCCAAAACCGAGCAAAAGCGCAGAGTCGTCACTGGAGAAACCATCCACTTCAGTTGATGAGTTTGGTGAAAACTCCATTGAACACTTTTGGAGGTTCCAAACTGGAAAATTGCAGAAACCCTGAATGTTTTTGCGATTTGGACTGGTGCGTTGAAGGTTGGCCAAAATCGGGGACTCCTCATTATTCTTCTTATGTTCACATTTTAGCTGGAATGGTGCTTAGAAAAGTGTCCTCTCAAGCGGGCTGGACACATGTACGACAAGTTGGACGGGAAGCTTGCAGCAAACAAAGAAATGTACCTAAATTGGCCCGCCTTTGCTTTTCTATGAATCCGGAACCACGCCTAGTGCCTTTTGAAACAACCAGTCTTGCCCCGCCCCAGCACACCGTCTGTTTGCGCGCGGGGCTGAGCTGACTTTTCCTGATATAAACACGGTTTTAGGTGTGTGTGTGTGTGTGTGCTCTGGGTGCTAAATAGCCCACATGTGCTAATGTCTTATGTATATAAGGAAAATCAAAAGCGGGATGCCACTTCGTTTTAGGGTGCCCCGCGCTATCCTCTCCCTGCGGCCTTCAATCAGTGACCTGAGCCCAGAAAACTCAGGACTTGTTGCTTCCCCACTCAATGTATCGTCCTAACAAGAGTCAAAGTTCAAAGTCCAGAAACGGAAAAAAAAGGTGAGGGCCCCTTTCAAGGGAGAAGCACCGCCCTCGCACCAATTCAGCAGCGCACGCCGGCCTATCTTCCAGAACCGCGCGCACCAGGCGGTCAGTAAAATCCTAGAAAAGCTCCGGCAAGGGAGTCGGGGTTGCCAAGGATCTTGCTGGTGCAATAAGTAGGGAGTTGGGAATGCACCCAGGCTTTGGTCCCCTTAAAGGAAACCAGGGATGGTTTATAGGGCTAGTAGAACCCAACCACGTGTGCGCCTTCCCCTTGAGAGAGCCAAGTGACACAGACCATTCAATGGGAGCCTTGCTTGAATCTCAGGGAGCAGCCTTCCAGTTCTAGCTGGCATTGTTGCTTCATGTTTTGCCCGCTGTGAAAGATGCTTGGAAGAGTAAGATGAAATATAGGTATCCTAAATTACAGTAAATCCTTTTCGCGCCCAAGTGAGTCGCTGGCGATCAAACCAATTCTGAAGAAGTATCAAGCCAGCACTAAACCGATACTAAACAAGCTAGCAGGACGGATCCTGAGCTTAATTTGCTTTGGCTTTCTAAATCTAACCCCACGAGTTGATCACAAGACGTGTTGATGAACTCAAGCAACGGAACCTGCTGACCATGGCACATTTGTAGCTTGTCGCTTGATGCACAAAGGTACGTCAGTTTAGTGACCACCTGCTCCAACCTCTTGCCTGTTGGTTTTGAACCGAAAACCAAAGTTGGGGGTTCACAGAGCAGAGTGGCCTAATCCTGAAGCTCCGGAATCCAAAATAGATGTGTTCGCCCTAACAACCCTGAAAAAGAGTAACACCCTCCAAAACGGACACACCCAAGTACGAAGCAGACATCAGAACGCGAGCAAGTGGCCTCGGCAACAGCACAGCGGCAGCACACCCGAACCGTCTGAGAGAGTTTTACACACGGAGTGTTACTTATATACGAGTAAAACTAGCATTTTGAGGTATCCTAGAAAGTGCCTCCTCTCAAGGGGCGTCCCCAATTTTCGACACCTCCATTCCATCTGAATCTAGCTGCGACGCGAAGATAAAGACTGAATTGCCACACGTGCCACGAAGCTGAGTGATTTGAACTCGAGCCCGCGATATCTCAAAATTTAACCCGTGGCTAAGCTTGTAGCATATTTCATATAAGCCTCCCAGGCCAAAAAACCCCTTCAGCCCGCTGTCGTCACCATGCACTTTCTGCGCCGAGACTGGCTAAATGGCTCGTCAGGCTGAAGGTATACCTCCATATATGAACCCTGGCAGAAAATGTCCCAACAGTTACCCACCAATTAACATGGAACCTGACGTTCGGGGGGTCCTGGTTTGGACCAGTCCTTTGAAAGCGCCCCTGTCAGTTTCCAGTCAACTCATCTTGCTTCATTAGCCAGAGCCGCTTTGGTGCCCGTGGCCATGGGGTCCGTTGAAACCCCGTCCTTCCGAAGATTCTGGCACTGCAGCCCCACGGAGATGTCCACTTCCACCTCAATGTCCGAGGTGGTGTAGCGCACAATGATGATGGGCACCTGTGAAAAACCATATTTCGTACACGGAACATGGCGACTTCAAAATGTCAGCAGTGGACGTAGATTCTGAGGAGACCGGCAAAACCTATTCTGTGAGCATAGCGACTCCCTCAACACACCTGGAAGGAAGTGAAAGCTACTAAAACTGCTACTCTACACCAAAAAACAAATCATGTGAACTCTTCTTCGTGGCTTCCTTAAATCAGATCGCCAAAAGCGACACAAAGCCTAAATGGCCAATGGCTGCTGTTTCACTGGCCAAACGTGGTAAAGTGTTGCCAGATTGTGTCGGCAATCCTTTCGTGGTCCTGACATCAAGAAGCTTCGAAAACGCTCTTCATTTTATCCACTACTAAAAGTGGGACGCATCAAGTGCAAACCTTCCCAGCCGAGAAGAACGAGGTGTGAGGTCGGTCCAATCAGCCTTTGGGATCTTTCAATAGCTTAGGATTACCTCCGTGCCAAAAGGCGCATGGCTGGCTTCAGCTTGCCACGCGCTGGAGCACATCACAAGAAAGAATGCAAGAAAGGCGGAATAGGGCGGAGAGCATAACTATGTTTGGTTGTCGGGTTAAGCTGGCATTTCAGCCAATGTGTTTCTTGTGGCCTAGTGTAGCCAAACACACCTGCTTCATTGTCCTCTCTATGCCTAGGCATGGAGCATCGTGCATGCAACACGACTCAACAACAAGCTCAAACCACGAGCAGCAGCGCAACTTCCACCAAAAAGTCCTCTACATCTCACTCGGACTGTGCTTCTTCTCCTGATGAACCCGGCAAGCAGGGGAAGCGACAAATTTCTGCACCGATGTGGCGAAACAAAGCCAACACCAGACACCTTTGTGTGGAAGATCGGGTGGGCCAAGTTCAACACAAGTGCTCACCCAGGCATCATCCAAGATCCTGGAAGGATGGTCATATCTCCTATACCTGTGATACAGGTCCCTAGAAAAAGCAGAAAGCTCCCGCACGGCTCAAGCAAGCATCTGCCAGGGACTGCCCACCCAAACAAACGCAATCTCTCGATTCTGAGTCAACCTTCCGTCAACTTCCATCCAACAGATCCATGCCACTGGAATCCGGAAAAAAAAAAAAGGAGAAAGACAAACAAAAGACGACCACACACACACACACAACAAGCCGTCGGGCCGATCTCCGGTCCAACCCCCCTCCTCCCCCCCAGCACCCCCCCCCCCCCACCCGCCTTGACCGACTTCTGGAGCCTCGCCTCCACCACACGCCAGGGCGCCGACCCGCAGTGCCCCAGGAGCTTCCGCAGCACCTCCTGCTGGGCTGCGCCCTCCAGGGACCTGAGAGATTCAATCACCGGCGCCGCGGCCTCGTTTTTGGGCCTTTGTTGGGCCCAAAACGTGGTGGGCAAAACGGGGAGAAGGGGGAGTGGTTGGGGGAGTAGTTGGGGGAGTGGTTGGGTGGTTGGGAGGGTTGTTGGGCGGCAGGGACCCGAGTGATTCAAGTTGTTCTCCTACCGCCCATGTTGGAGGAGAGAGGTTCGACGTACAGCCAAGTTACAAAGGATGGGTTTGGGGTTTGGGGGTGGCAGGGTTGCCAGAGCACCTTTCCAAAAGACGGTGTTAAAGGCTTTCCCAGGCCTTTTCAAGGCTTAGGCCTGGCATTGACCTCAAACTGGAGCGCTGCTCCGGGCTCTTGGGCGCCCGAGCCGCTTGGGCAGATCGATGCACACGTCCAGGTCAGAATCCTGGAGAGAATTGGCTCTGTTCAGTGACCCTGGAAAAAACGGGAACCCGTTTTGGGGCTTGGATCATTTTTAGTAGGGCCACCAGAAAAAAAAAGGAAAAGAATTGGTGCCACTGAACAACTGAGTTGGACACTCCCTTTGCCCTTTGCGCCGAAAGCGGCTCCGAGTTTGGCTTGCGCAGAACCCCAGGAGGCCACCAGAAGGGACCAAACATTTAGGGCTCCCCCAACCCATGAAACGCCATTGAGAAGCCCGTCTTGCCAGCTGAGCCACAGAGCCTGCGTGAAAGCAAAAAAAGAGCTTGAAGGATTTGATTAATTGAGCACATATTCATCAGCATCTTTCCCCGCCCCCCCAAAAAAATCACGGAATGATATTGCGCCCAGGGAGAGTAAATACCTCTGGAAGTCTAGCGTTCCCACTCTCTTCCAATTCCTCTCCTCTGCAAGAAGACACAAGCTCTAAGGTCTACCAGGCCATGTTACGTCTGCCCTCATCGGCAGGAACCAAGGGGGAGGCGGAGGGCTCCCCCATCAGTCGTGGCTTTGCGGCAAAGCAGCCATGGCCGAATGAAACCTGGATGGACTCCCTACCCGACTTGCTTGCAAATGCAGCACGATGCTTGTCTGAACTCACAACCCGGAACATACATCTTTTGCGCTGCTTGAACATCCTCTGGAAACCTGCCAAAAAAGAAACTCAAACTTCAAACTTCTTCCACCCACTTGGTGATCTTGCAACGTCCTGGGAACCCTGGCCCAACACCCCCCTCGTTCCAACCACGTCCTGGAGATGCGCGCCCTGCACGAAGGAGCCGAAGGGCAGCACCTGCGCGGAGGAGCCGAACCTGGGCACGTGGCGCGTGGGACAGAAAGCGGCTTCAGAGGTGGCGGTTTTTGAATAGAAACCCAAAAAAGGTGCTGGATGTCCTTGTTTTTGGCCTCCAGACTGTTTTTAGTTTTGTTTGAGGGCACCCGCTTTTGGGTTTGAAAGGAAAACCTCAAGAGGAAGCTAAACCAGATTAGGATGTCCCCTATTCTGAGACAAACCTCAAAGCAATGAATGGGAACCCCGGATTAACAAACCCGGTTTACTTACCACTAGAGGGGTGCCATCCCTAAAAGTGAAATGATCCCCATAAAAGTGGACATTCCAGGGATTCATTAATCCGGGGTTGTGATATTACCTTCCTCCCACTAACTGAAGGCACCTGTAGGAGGGTAGATGGAAGATCAAGTTCCTCTTGAGGGGATCATTTAGCTGTCAACTGCCGTGGCAACTTGGGTAGCTTGCCGGGGGCATCGCTGAATCCACTAGTCTGCTCACTCAACAAGCTACCAAAACAAAAACAGAAGCTCGCCTCAGTCAAAGGGTCAAAGACCCCCATGTCAAGCTTGGCCCATTGCGCAAGGTGTAACCTCGGTGCCCCTAATGTCCTTAAACTCTATGTGGGTAGGTGTCAAAAAGAAGGGACCCCAAAATAGTGGTCGAATGTTTTCAGAACTGGGTTTGCCCTCGTCGTAGCCACTGCTAGACGGTTTTGTAGTTTAAGAGACCTCCTTGTTGGCTCCATGCACCTGACAAAAGCTGATCTGATGGGTTGACACGGACCGCAGTTACACCTTCGTGGGCCTGATCAAAATGACATCTGAGCCAGTCGAAATTACTCGTCTCCCCATGAGGACATGGGCACTTGTGCGCATCCCCAGGGTTTTGTGGGGAAATTGAGCGAGTCCCCCATCTCCCAAATGGACCACGCTACTGGAATTCTTGACCAAACCTCATCTGCCAACAAAAAGTTTAAAGCTCGGCAACAGGTCACGAAAAGCAAGCAAACCAATGATCAAAAAGAGCAAGCCTATCAAACATTCAGTTTTGAACTCTGGAAGGCGCTTGAAGGTGCTAATTTGTTGTAATCCCTTCTTGGCAGTTTCTGAGCAGAAGACCAAATATCGCCAGGTGTGGCCGTATCACCATCTCAATTGTTCCGCACTCTCATCTTTCTCTTCCAGATGTCTGGGAAAAATTGAAGGCTACAAAATATGCTATATTGTTTTGTTCCAAGAACCCGTCTCCGGCGTGACCGATGGGCAAATGCTCACCAAACTGACCCCCACAGACGTAACATATCGTTCTGGAAAAAGTCCGAGCCCCGCAATGTTCAACACTGTCCAAAATGAATATGGTTGAATCTGATTGGGGACCCCCTGCAATGGGTGGATTGTCTTCGTGGCTTCCCTCCCACACCTTCCAACAAGGAATGCACATTTGGGTGTGGGTCAAAGTTAAAATTTACCAGAAAACCGCAGGCTTTGGTCCATGTTTCCACTTACCAGGGCAACCCATTTTGGGGTTACCCTATTTTTGACCCACAGCCATTTCGAGGAGGCACAGCTCCCCATGTCCGGATCTGGAAATTCCCCCGCCCCGAGCCGGCGGCGTGCTCTTCACCAATGCCTTCACGGCATCAAAGGTTTCCTCGCGTGCGGGAAACCAAGATGAAAGGAAGGCCGAACCATTTTGGGAGTCCCCAAAGGGGTCTGTCTGTTTTCTGGGGAACCCCTTTTTGGTTGGTTTTAAAGAGAAATCAACAGGAAAACCACCGGTCCCCACAAACAAGACAAACTCACACTTTGGCACATGCCAATTTGGGTCATGATGAAAAACAATATATTTACTTCAGGAGGTGCAGAAAAGATAGAAGCCTTATTGAAGGAGGTCCTCTTTTTTCCAACCAAAGGACAAAGCCTGAATGCCCGCCGCCCACTGGAGACCGGTTGGTTGGTGTGGGAGCAGGGGCCTCATGTTTTCTTTGGGTAGGGCTGAACATCACTTGTTCGGCCAGCTTTGCACATCACACTTCAGGCCATGCTAGACAAGACTAAGGGCCCAGATTTCAGAGTCCCCACTGCTTGGCCTGTTTCCAGCTGAGAAATACATGGAAGCTGGCAGAAAGCTGCTTGCCAGGCTGCAATCAAACTACAATCCTCCACGTCCATTGGAAAGAAGCTCCAAGCTGTGGGCGGTGTGGGAAGCTATTTCTGAGGAAGCTGAGACTCTCGGGCCCGGCGGTGTTTGTTAAAACTCTCACTGTCAAGTGGTTGAGGTGGGCCCACTCCCCCAACGCGGCGCCCGCTGGGCAGCTAGGCAGATCCCCAACCGTGTGGGGAGTATGGGAGTTTCTCCAAATGGGATTCGCCCCCCCCCCCCCCCGCCCCGGGGTTTGTGTTGGTAATGTTGACGTTTAAAGGGAAGAGGAAGCGAGTCATGTTGGGAAACCCCTATTTTGAGAAACACCTAACATGTCCCCTTTACACAAACACCCCACCAAAAGGGGGTGAACCGTCAAAGCCGATGGTTTCGACCATCCAAAACGCATTTCAGGCCGCTCACCGCGAGGCTCGCCGGCCCAAAACGCCTCACGGACCAAGCGTCAAGCACCGCCACTTCGAAGTCTCGGGAGGGCGCGAGCATCGCAAGGCGAGCCGCCCTAGGCCACTCGACACGCACTCGCGCCTGTCTGCTCGAGTCTATGTCTATGCTGTGTTGCTTCAAATCAGAGAACTTCCTTGTTGACCTTGAAGGTCAAACAAGGCGAAGCTGTCTTTCAGACTTCACTGGGGCGCTGTCCCGGAAGGATGCCCATTTGGTCAGAGTCCCTTGCATGTCCCCGGCAAAAAGGACATGTTCAGGGCCTGTTAACCCCCAAAAAGGGGGTCAAGCATGGCCTAAAGTGATGCTTTAAAGCCACCCCTAAAGGACGTGTAAGTTGCTCAGGTTCATGGGAACTGTGCGTCTGCGGGGCCTCCTGCCCTACTTTTTAGTTCTCTTCTCTTGCTGGAGCTGCGCGTGCGACCGAAACTGCAGGAAATTTTCGGGCCCCAGACCCTAAGAAAGAAGAGCCGATGTACACACACACACACACCTACACCCATGTCCATGATTTGGCAGCAAGCAGCCGAGGTCAAAACTGGCTGGACAGCAAACCCCAGAATGAATGTCCAAAGGCCAAAGTTCGATCCAAGCTCATGCGCAAATGGGTGGTGTCACAAAACGGGGTATCCCCCTAGCATGAGCGTTTCCGCTGCGGCAAGCAACCCCAAGACGCGCAGCCTCAACAGAAGAGCCCTCCATGAGGGCATTGCCCAAGTTGAGAACGAGGGCCGCGCAAGAACCAACCCCTTTTGGGGGGCGCCGGAGCTACCCGAAAGTGGTAGGCAGCATGTGGCCAACGTGCATCTGCACTTCTTGAAAAATTAAGGGACCCCCGACTAGAAATCGAGTGTCTACCAGGGGGGGGCTTATCATGGGAAACGCTAATGAGCCATGTATTTAGAATTAGCATTCTTAGTCACCCCCCAAGTCGTATGAAGCAGATACAGCTAGTTTACTTGGGGTCCAACCTCGACCCAAAATGACCGAGAGGGATATGGCAGGGCAAGCCATTTTGCAGTCGCTCGCTCACAATGACATCCGCACAGACCTTGGCGAGTTGATGTTTGCCAAGCCCTCAGGCAAACTGCAGGCTTGCAGCCTGACTCAGCTGTGCTGCAAATGAATTAAAGAAAAGAGTCTCGCGCTCTGAATCCCGGCCGGGCGAACTGAAAGCCGAACAAGTAAAGCAGAACACATGTGTGAACTCACAACTTGCAAAGGCGGCTTTTCCGCCTGGCCATCCCAACTGACTGCTTGCGCTGCGAATTTGCAATTGGAATTCGGCTGGTCGTAGCATGTGACTCAGCGGGCACGATCAAGGCTCGTGGCTGATAGAAGTGGCCGTGGGTCAGAAATAGGTACCGTACCCAAAATGGGTTGCCCTGGCAAATGGCAACATGAGCTGAAATCTGCGGTGCCCTGGTGGTTTTTTATTTTTGGACCCATGCCCTCTGGTGTGTTTCTCTCGAAGTCCTGAGATCCTCTGCCCTTCGGAAGGCACCTTGTCGAGAATCTCTGTGGATTTTATGCGAAGTTGTGGAGGGTTCTCCGTTTTCACCTTTGACCCTTCAGGCATCAGTGCTTCAAGCCCCGGCCTGCTTGACATAGATGATCCCCAAAAAAAAGGCCACTTCCCGAGAATCTGGAAGTGAGTTGAATCGGTGGAATGAGGGTGCCGCAGTGTCGGCCTTTGCAAGAATGCCGTTGCGGAAAAAACCGGGTGCTAGCAGTCTACGTATCCTCCTCTTGCCTCCTTTTGACATAAAAAGCAGAACCCTTTCCGCGCCAAGCCCGCTTGCTCCCAGTCCAAAGCGCGTCGAACTCTTGACCTTTCTCCTTCCTAGCGACTAGGGAAGAGATTTCAGCCTGAAAAAGGCGCCCCCGAAGTTTGTGTTTTGGGACCAGCAGCACTGAGCTGCCCGTTTTCAAGATTTTTTCACAAGTGAAAACCTGTGGCTCAAACGGAAACCCAACCACTACACTCCAAGCCAAAGACCTAAGGAACCGGATGGCTGGGAACCCGGAAAGGAAACTGACGACAGGTGTCCTTTCGGCAAAAAATCGATGGCCCTGGTACATGAACTAAAACACATGTAAACCAGTGCCATCTATTAATGCAAGTAACCTTAAAAGGAGACCTATGCTGACGATTTGACTCCTCTCATGGCCCGGTCGGTCCGCGAGCCGCTCATCGCTCGACCAGCGCCTCTCGCCTTCGTCAAGCGCCCGCCTCAGCCGCCTCCAGGGCCGCAGCCTCCGCCAGCTCGCGCTGGGCGTTGGCCAGGAGGGTCTGGAGGCGCAGGCCACACTTCGTTCAACCCACTCGTGGTGTTTTCCTTTGCCTTACATCGCTGGCTATGCTGATGTAGGTGCTGAGTTGTCCATTGGTTTTCAGGGGTTGTCTGGCTTATTCCATTTTAGGTTTGAGTCTGCCGGCCCCGCCCCTGGCCTGGCGCCCTGGGGTTCAGGCAGGCCGCCATTTCATAGAACTACCATTTACCGTGCAGGATTGGCATTCAAATTGGGCCCTTGCCTTTCTTTTAATGGGGGTTCAACGGTTGAACTCTAGGTACGGGTGCGGCTCCCCGTTTTGGGGTCGGATTTTTAGGGGAAGCAAAAGGAACCACGTTTCAAGGGTTGCCCCATTTTGGAGACAAACCCATGTGTCAAAATGAGATACACAACAATTGGTGGCGTTCTACACACAGACACACACACACAAACACACAAACACACAAACACGCAAAACACGCAAACACGCAAAACACGCAAAACACGCAAACACGCAAACACTCAGACACGCAAACACGCAAACACACAACCACGCAAACACGCAAACACGCAAACACGCAAACACGCAAACACGCAAACACACAAACACACAAACACACAAACACATAAACACACAAACGCACACACCCACAAACACACAAACACACAAACACACAAACAAACACGCAAACACACAAACACACAAACACCCAACCACACAAACACACAAACACACAAACACACAAACACACAACCACACAACCACACAACCACACAACCCCACACACACACACGCGCACACACACACACACAAACACGCATACACACAAACACAAAACACACAAACACACAAACACACAAACACGCAAACACGCAAACACGCAAAACACGCAAAACACGCAAACACGCAAACACGCAAACACTCAGACACGCAAACACGCAAACACGCAAACACGCAAACACGCAAACACGCAAACACGCAAACACGCAAACACACAAACACACAAACACACAAACGCACAAACACACAAACACACAAACACACAAACACACAAACACACAAACACGCAAACACACAAACACACAAACACACAAACACACAAACACCCAACCACACAACCACACAACCACACAACCACACAACCACACAACCCCACACACGCACACGCGCGCACACACACACAAACACACAAACACACAAACACACAAACATACAAACATACAAACACACAAACACAAACACACAAACACACAAACACGCAAACACGCAAACACACAAACACACAAACACAAAAATCACACAAACACACAAACACACAAACACACAACCACGCAACCACACAACCACACAACCACACAACCCCACACACACACACACGCACACACACACGCACACACACACACGCGCACACACACACACAATGGACCATGGACTACTGGATATCTTGTAACCGATTGGGAAATGGAGAAGGAACCGCTCCCTTCTTTGGGCGCAATTTATACATGTTGCATAGGGGGCGGGGAATCCTGTCACCCTCTGTTTTGGTTGGCAACTTTGTGGTACCTCCAAGAGCAAACCAGAACTACTCTTGGAGTCTGGTCGGTCCGGCCGGGCTCAAACAGGGAAAGAATAGAATTTGTCTCCAACTGGTGGGATTGGAATTGTGACATGTTTCGTTGTGGGTGTCCCTTTAAACCCACTCCCAAGCATTTTTGGGGGACCTTCTTTGGAGGGAAATGTCAATTTGGAGTAGAGGTTGCACAAACCACCACAACTCTTCCACAAAAAGCAGCCACCCAACTGAACAGAACGGGCCCAGCCCCCTCTCAGTCAATTTTGGTGCGCTGGGAATAGTGTGCGTGTCATCCCCTACGGTAGATGACAGTTAATATTGAGTACTCTGGGTTCCTCCTAGCCGAGTATTCCCCCAGCTTATAGGGAAGCAAACCCAACCCCTGGTTTCACTTCAAAACACCCCCAACAGGGTACCCTCAGAAAACCACACACCCAATTTCAAGGAAACCCAACGGAACCCGCGAGCTTTTCTTCTGGGTCCTCTAGTTAAGCCCATCCCAAAAAAATGGACACCCCCATCACCCATAGTCAACATCCCGTACCCCCAATAAACATCCCAATCCCCACTAAAATAGGTGGTGCACCAAAAGCCCCAAAATGGGATCCCATTGGCCTTGACCCAACACCCATCGGCTTCCAGCCTCCTTGGGATTCTCAGCGCTGTGGTCCCGCAGCTTCTCGAAGCACGCGAGGTTGTACTCGCGGAAGTGCTTCAGCTCATCCTCCGCCTCCTGAAAAAGTGGGACTCGGGACTCGGGAGACGAGTCTCCGTGTTTTGCTCGGCTTCTTCTTGGTGCCGTTGCCCCCCTAAAATGGGTGGAGTCCCTTTGGATTTCCTTTGAAACAGAAAAACATGGGTGAATTCTCTTTGAAAGAGCGGACGGATTCCAAAAGGGCTGCGAAAATGGGCTTTCCAAAGAAACCCGTTTGCCACAACGTGGCTGTTTCCGAGGAACATTCCAAGGCATAGCTTTGGCCTCTCCAAGCATGGTGTCGCCGCACCTCAAGCCCCAAAACCTCTGTGGGTAGCACTTGGGATTTCGGTATGCTGGTGTGTACCTCTTCCAAGCACATGAAAATCTGGGTGCATCCTTCCGGGGTGAACAAGTATGCCTCTCTCCGAAAATCTGAAAAAGGAAACAACGACAGTGCCACGTGTTGAAACACGTGGTAACAGCCAAAACTACGATTGGTTTGAATCGGTTTGGATCGGTCGTCTTGGGATTTGAGCCCATGATTAAACTGATGGGGGCACGCGGCCCCTCCAAAACATCGATCCAAGCTGGGCTGTCCCCAAATCTGCCAAAAGTGCTCTGAACTGTTTGTGGGTCAAATTCGGGAACCCACCTATCAAACCAAAAGCAAAAAAACAGCGGAAAAAAGGCCATGGAAACAAAATAACTGTGGGGAAAAACCACCAACAAAATATTCTACAGGGAGGCTCTCCAAAACATCCAGAGAAAGAAATCCGCCGCCGCCAAATTTCGCGCGCTTTTTGGAGTCGTCAGAGTCTGGGGACTTCACCCGACGAGTCCGCCGCGCGCGCGACTCCGGACGGAGTCCGACACAGTCCACAGTCGTGCCCGGGATTTGCGCGGCCGCCCCAGCAACCCGAACGACTGTGCGCGCGAAAGCTTGCAGGACTGATTGACCCTTGTCCTTGCCAACAAGTTGTTTGTCAAATATCGCTTTCCTCTGCTTGTCCTCGCCAAAGACCACCCCTTGTTAAGGCTCCATGGTAGGTTTTAGGGTAGCGCCGCGCGTCTCGCGCCTTCTGGGCCTTGAGGGTCGCCTTGAGCCGCGGCTCAACGGACTTCACCTCCTTCTTGGCCGCCTCCAGCTCTGCCTGAAGCGTCGAAAAACCTCTTTGCTGGGGGTGGTGACTTTTTTGGGGTGGCGGTTTTTTGGGGTGGTGTTTTTGGGCGGTGACTCGACTTTTTTTGGTGGTGACTTTTTTGGGTGGTGACTTTTTGGGGTGATGACTTTTTTTGGGTGGCGGTTTTTTGGGGTGTGACTTTTTGGGATGGTGACTTTTTGGGTGGTGACTTTTGGGTGGTGACTTGTTGGGCTCAGTTGTTCAGTGACCCTGGAAAAGGGAACCCTTTTTGGGGAAGACCACTTTTAGTGGGGCAGCCACCCAAAAAAAAGGAAACATAATTGGTGCCACTGAACAACTGAGTTACCTCATCCCACATGGCCACCAAACTACCGAATGGATCAAAGCATTTCGGAGATACTCAGCTGCTCAGCGGAGTCTGGATCAACGATGTCGCATGTATTTTGGGCAGACTTAAGGGAAGCCAAACGAAAATCGCTCATTTTTTTTGGGGGGGGGATCCACGTTGACACCTGATGCATAGGCACCTTGGTAGTGAGTCATTGTCCGGGCCGGGGACCCTTTTTTTTGGGGGGGATCCCCTTCTTAGGCCGGCTTTGGGTTTGCTGCGGGCTTGGCTACCAAATCGACCCCTGGAAGGTGGTGGCCTCGGCTCACAAAGAACAGCTGCAAAAACCAAAAGGTCCTCCAGCAGAGAGGTTAGAATAAGGGTGCCAACTTTTTCCTGTAGTCTATTTTAGTAGGGGACCCTCCCCCAAAAAAGAAGCGGCAAAAGTTGGCACCTGGCTGGGGGACCTAGAAAAGAACGCCAACCACTCAAAGCATTCCCACTGTTTCGACGACGTCCCTTGGCTCCCAGATAGGGAACTCTGAGGCTCTTCCAAGCTCTTGCTGACAAATGGCTCAAGAGTTGCACTTACGAGCCACAGACACATGGTCAAAACCATGGAGCAGGTTGAAGAATGCTTCTCGAGATAAGCCAACATGAATCTAACAGTTCGAACAATTCGGAGGCGTCCCGTGCACGCAAGCGGTTGAGGTTTCGGCCTTGGAAAAAACTGTGTCCGAACCAAAATACGAGAGAGGGTGGGGATCGGGCTTCTTCTGGCAAGAAAGGGTCGACAAACCTGCAGAAATGCCCTGCGCGGAATACGCAAGTACGAATCAACCGCGTCGCTTCTTTGTCCGCACGCCATGTTCCACTTATCTGTTCAAATCTTACTATAATTCCAAAAGCTGAATGCTGAACTCTGCCAAGTTCCTGACTTGTTCTCACGGCTTTCGCATGTTCTACCCGAACCCGAACTTGGTGTGAGCTCGCTGCTGGCGCCTGGCGCTGCTTCTGGGCCTCCAGGGATGCTTGGTAGGCCTCGGCCGCCTCCTGATGGATGGAAGGGCCGCTTCTTGCCCATCTGAGAAACCCGGAAGCAAAACTGGAGTGAGCCCAAACAACTGGAATATTTCTGGTGGGTTGCCCAATGGAGAATTTCGAGTTCAACGCTGAATGAGGGAAGAAGCCAAACTGAAGCATCCTCGTGTCTTTTAAGGCGTTGTGCGTTGCTTGCTGGTTCTTAGTGGGAGCATTGATGGACCCCCAATACCTGCAAAAACCGCGGGGAATGTGGGCGTGTCTCTTTCCAGGGTATCCTTTTTGGCCCACGAGGAGACAAACCCAGTTTGTACTGGCTCGAAAAAGCTGCCTGAACCGATTCAGAACCTGTTTTCGTTGCTGCCCTCTGCTTTGCGGAGCCTCATTGGAACATCCACCTCCGGCTGCGGAACCAAAAATGGTTCAAAGGAACTGGAAGCCTTTGGCTCTCCCATTCAGTGCGTTGACCCAGGTGAACTTCTTCAGGCTATGAAAGGTGACCTCCTCTTGCAGAAAACTAGGGGTTCCTTGAGTCTTTGCTTTTCTGGAAAAGGCGTCTGGGTCCCGAACACGAATCGGCCACGAGAAGTGACGATGGCAAGTCCCATTTTGATGTCGGGTTAGGGCCAGCCCTGTTTTGACGCCACATGGCTCCAACAACCGACTGGACTCAGAATCCGAATCCGTCATCAAATCACGATGTCCGAACCATACAACTATGCTTTGCGTGCGACCGCCATCAATAGTAAAGAATGACCCGCTGCTAAACTCCAATGACAGTACTCACCACCAAAATCACATGGAACCACACACAACAACATGTTTTGTCTGCGGTTCCACGTGAATCTGACAAATCTCGGCAGGTGGTTTGTGCAGGCAACCCCACCAAACGCAATTTTCCGAACCCCCTCAGAATGTTCACTTTGAAGGATGTTAGAACCGGACTCCTCGTCCACTTTAAGGGGCCTTGAGGAAAATCTTCCCATACCAAGCTCCCCCTCCTTTTGAGCAGGGAAACGCCCTTCCCCGGATGCAAAACAACTCCTGCTGCTTCTCCTTCGCCGCTTCCAACTCCTGGACGGGAGTCGTACACTGGGTATGATTTTCATCGGGAGTTATTGAAAAGACCATAGGTGGGGATTTATGTCCACCAAGAGCTTCCAAAACACAGTTTATTCCTTAGCTGAAACCAGCGGAATCCAGCTGCAGCTGAAGGTGGATGGCACAACTCCCATCCAATTGGGAGAGGGATCTCCTGTTGCCAAAAGGATCCGTATTTCTTCTGAAGCCCAAATTGAACTTCCTCTCGATTTGAGGATTCCACATGTTGCCCTGTGGTTTGGGGGAGGCTAGACTATCAGAAATTTGCTGAAATGGGTACCAGCTCCATGAACACCAAAGGCAGTTCCTGCACCAAACCATTCCGCGCCAAACCTGTAGCACACGCAGTTTAGCGCATGTCTTCAGCGTCGCCGCAAAGGAACCCAACGCCAACATCTCCAGCCAGCTCGGAGACTGTTCCCAACCAAAACCTATTCAACCGCCCGAAGTCTGAGACACCAACTGTACTTTCCGAACCCAACGGAAACTGCCCGGACCCCAAACCAAAGGCGTCACTCTTGAAATATCACTCTGAACAGGAAGATCTACATAGTTCTTGCAAAGAGAAATAACCCCTCAAAATGTTCATGGCCATTGCTGGACGCTAACCGCGGGTCACTGGCCGATCTAGGTGACTTCCAACTATTGTGAGTGTGCAGTGACTCATTGTTGATAGGGAGTTGGACCCCAAAATTGTGATTTGCCTTTTGGTTTCCGTTTAAAAACAAAAAACAAGGATAGCGAGCCTCAACAACACACACCTACACAGCTGGCTATGATTTTAGTTGGGAGCCCTTGGGCACAAATCCACCAAAGGGTCCGTTCAAACTCACACCAAAGGCTCCGAGTCTTTTTTAGGCTACCCTTTTTGGGTTGTTTCAAAGGGAATCCAAAAAGAAACCACTTCTTTGGGCCAAGACTCAATTCAACAACAAGCACGACAAACCCCAATGCTTCTTCCGGAACCTTATCCAAAACATAGTCCACAAACCCATGTGGTGTTTTTTTCTCCGGCGAACCTTATCAACAAGACTCAACCCCCGTGTCTTTTCTCAGTGTTTCCTTCCAGCTTTATAATGCAGCTTATGAGGGGCTTTTTTTTGAGGAGCTTCATAAGGAAGCTAAAAAAGGAAGCTAAAAAAGGAGCTTCCTAAGGAAACCCGGTTTCCCCCCCCCCCACCCCACCCCCCCACCCCCCCCCACCCCACCCCCCCACGCCCCCAGCCCCCCCCGCCCCACGCCCCCCGGCTCCTTCGCCGCCTGCTGCGTGGCCTCCTGGCGCTGCTGCGCCAGCGGGGCCCCGGCGCTGAGCTGCTCCCCGAGCTGCGCCAGGCGCTTGCCAAGGCCCTCCTGCGACGCTCTTCGCGACGCGTTTCGCGTTTCGCGTTTCGCGGCGCGTTTCGCGGCGCGGGACGTCCAACGCTTCATCTCCTCTTCAGCTTTGACCCACCAAACCGCCTGAATGATGGGAGGGTATCTGCTTCATCTCATTATCTTTTTTGGATGGGAGGGTATCTGGTTCATCTCATGCTTATCCTTTGTATCCAGATCCATACTGTGGGCGGCTGCGAAACCCAGAGATCAATTTCACCACCGTTCACCCTGGTTGCTGGTGCGATTCCCCTGCAAAGAAAAACTGCAAACGTTATGGTGTCCCATGGTTTCAATAAGTGTTGCAGGATTTCGTCCATCCATACGGCTCGCGGCTCGCGCGGCTCGCGGCTCGCGGATCGCCTGTAGCTGTGCGACGACCATGGCATCGAAGGAGCCCCGATCCGCCGGCTTCTTCAGCATGCCTGGGACTTGGCCCCTTTGAAGGCGGGGAGGATCGGTTGGGCCCCGCTTGGATGCCACCGGATCCACCCCTGCCAGGAGAAATCTATTAGAGGTGCCAAGAATAGCGGTTTAAGACACAAAAAAGGCTGCATGGGGCCTTTCTTTAAGGGGAAACCACAGGATTGTTTAATGAGATTCAACATGTGTCAGGGTTAAGTCACGCGCGAAAGGTTGGTCCCCCTAAAACTGTTTTTTGCACCTCACCGTCGGCGCCCCCTAATTTTGAGACAAGCCGATAAGGCTGAAACTTTAATCCGAGGCTTGTCAAGAAGCTTGAAAGGCCCAGCCACATTGAGTAAACTGGCAACCACCCCTTAGTAACCTGTGGCTTCTCACCAACCTTCCTAAAGGTACACACGTGCAACCTCGCTGCATCTGCCAGCGCTGCAAACTACGACTTCTTGGTGCACCGGAGAACGGCCGGCGCTGATTTGTATTGAACTCGAGAGGCGGGCCAAAATATGCCGTCCGACATCTGCCGAAAGAACAAATGACTGGCCTGTTTCTGGATCGCGAGTCCTTGACATTGACTCCTGCCTGACCCCCTAATCAAAGCAGGGGCATCGGGAAGAACCACAGAGGACCAAACAGGGCAAGCAAAATGGAGCAATGACAACCCGGAGAAATCAACCTGAACTGTGGCTTTCCGGCCACTAATCAAAGGTCTCTCAATTCTGGGTGCCCATTCAAACAGAAAAAGAAAAAAAAAAAAAAAAACAACTCCCAGCCTTCAGCCCTTCAGCCAACTTCAGCCAAGAGGCTGGTGGGCAGGGCTGTCATCAGGCTGGCCTCAAACCCAATCTTCCCGGCCAGCGTCTCCAACTTCTTGTAGTGCGCCTGATCAAAACCGATCCCATGGGGTGCGTCGGGTCGTTGCCTCGCTTGGCCCGGCGCCACTTTTTGGCCTCTCAATCGCTGCAAAGCGTTTGAGGGGAACCAAAAATTACTCCAAACGCGCCCGAAGAAATTGGCCCCCGGTTTTCCAAGAACCAAAAAAGCGCCACCTCACCCGTTTACCCCTCCCATCAACCAACCTCCCAGAAAGACACCTCAGGTGTATTGTGCAAACGCCTTCCTTTAGGCTATGTTTGAAGGCTCTCCAACATTCACTCAAGCTTCACCTGGCACCTTGCGAGTTGATTACTGTTTAACAGCCCAATCCACATTTTGGGGTGCCCTCTTTCGTGCTTGGTGTCAACCCACGGTGTCTCTTCTTGAGTGGGGGAAATCAAAACCAGCGAGCCATGAGCTTTGGAGCAGCCCTTTCAGTCGAGCTACTTTGAGACCATGTATCCTGTAAGGAACCCATTGAGAGCAACCCCTTCTTAGGCAACCCTTTCTTTAAAAAAATAATTTATATTTTTTTTTTTTTTTAATAAAAAAAAAAAAAAAAAAAAAAAAAAAGTCCCTAACATTCCTCTTTTCAGGAACCCCCCCCTTTTTCGGGGACAGACTCGCATAACTCCCCCCCATAACCCCCACCCGGCCCGCGCCTTGGCCTCCTCGCCCTCCGTGTCCCCATCCCGCAGCAGGCGGAACTCCTGCGCCACCGCCTCCTCCACCACCGTCTGCACGCGCCAGCGGGGCGACCGTCCCCGGTGGTTTGTTTTTCTACGCAAACAAAAGAAGAAGACCACAAACACGTCGACAAAAGGGCAGAAGGAAACTCGCTCACTTTGACTACTGGAAAGGTGAAGGGGAAAGAAAAAGGGAACCCAACTCACTTTGAGTTGGACCGACAGGTGTTGTTTACAACATAAGGAGAAAAGATCGCTTCGGAACCTGCGGGAACCAGTTTTTGTCGGAGGGAGCGGGTCAGGATTTTGGTCCTTGGGGCGGGGGAGTTTCGGAGCCCTTCCGCCTGGGAAGGTTCTCAAGTTGGGGTTTGGGGACTGCAGCCCATGTCGTTCCACTCCCCGGTTTCAGTGGCCGCTTTGGGAAAATTTGTTGCCGGAACCGTTTTGGCCGTTTTGGGCTCTGGGCGCCAAACAAACAAGGCTGGAGTCAACAGGAGGCTTGGGAATGAGCCTGAAGGGGATGCCCTAGCAAGCTGCAGGGGAATTTTGTTTGCACGGGTCCTTTCAACTGATGCCTTGAGAACCCGCAAGTCATGTTCTGGTTCTGGAAGTCCTCTCTGAGCAACCGGTGACAAACAGTTCTAAAGCTGCACTTCCTTCTTTTTCGAGCAACCACCTGGGTGCAAGGACAAACAACCACAACCGACCAGTGACTCGTAACCCTGAACCGCTTCTTTCTGGTTGGCTGTGTCCATTTGGATGTCAGTGTTAGGGACCCCCAGAATGGTGGCTTTCCTTTTGGGCGTCCTTTAACACCATCAAAAACAAGCATACCCTCAAAAGGAAAAGGGAGGGAGGGGCCACTGCACTGGGTTCTTGCTTCGAGGAACCAAACAACTCAACCCGAAACGCAACTCAAAATAGGAAACCCAACCACACCTGACTATACCCGGATTCGCACCAACACCCAACCAAATTCAAAATCCAAACAACCCCCGATCCACCTGAAATTCCAGCAAACCCAGCCCAACCCCACAACCATAAGCCCAAGCAAATCCAAGCAAAACCACCAACCAGTGATTGCTCAGAAAATATAAAATTGTGGCTGACGAGAGCAGAGAATGTAAGTCAAACCTGTTTGCCTTGCGAAACCGGGACAAGAAGGGGCTCTGAGGCTCTTCGTTTGGTGTCCAGCGCTTCCCCATGCTTTCCAGGGTTGACACGTCTTTTCAAGAAATCGCCCAAAAGTCCCGGTGAAATTCTGTGGTTGCCCAAACGATGGGCTTTAGAAACTCATCATCCTGGGTAGAAGCCACGGCACGCCACAATATTGTGCGGATTGGCAGGCATAACTTGCCCAATGGCCATGGGAGAAGAAGGAACCCCAAAAGACGAAAGATACAAACGGGTCCGTTGGGCAGGGATTAAGATATGTCCCCCTTAAAAAGGTTTTCAGCGGTGCAAGCTTCAGATCTGAATGTCGCAAAATTCTCCGTGCCCTGGCGCAGCGCCGGATTTGAACCTCAAACATTGCCATGACGGAAGGATTGGCGTAGGAAATGACCTTGGTGTGCAGCTCAAGCCGGATTTTTAAACCGCCATTGAAAACATGCGCATCCTGTTGTTGGTTGGTTTAAATATTTAAAGAGGACGTGCCCAAATGAACTGGGAATAGGTTCAACCCAGAAAGCGAGCATCCAGAATGCATGGGAACTTGCAGGCCTTCTCCTGCTGAGCGCTCAGGTATGAGGCATCCCCCTCTTTCTGAAGCTTCTCCTGGCGTCACCGCGATGTTTTGCAGTCCCCAGGTGCAATGTTGGACCACGCCTTTTTTGGTTGGCATCCATATCTGCTAGGGGACCGAAAGGAACCCGAAAGCAAAGGCAGCAGAGGTTCCGCACCCAGAACTCTTTCTGTGATACCAAATCGGGATTCCCTCTTCCATGGCCAACTTATCACTTGTGATAAAGATCCTCTTGGTATCACCAAAAGTGGCAACCCAAACCCAAAATTCCACAATGCATATATATATATATATATATATATACTCAGTCTCCCCCGAAGGGAGGGCCTGAGGGGGGGGCGGGGCCGCGTCGCCTTCTCGGCCAGCGCGGTCTTCGCTGCGAGCACCGCCCGCGTCACATCTGCCAGCAGCTCCTTCTTCGCCATCGCCTCCGAAGCGGCGCTCGCCAAAGCTTCTTCGCACCTGGGAGCGCAGAAGGGCCGGCCCATTTGGTCAGCAAATTTTGTCGGTGGTCCTTGTTCTTCTTCTTCTTCTTCTTCTTCTTCTTCTGCTTCTTCTGCTTCTTCTTCTTTCGGCGGGGGAGGGGGCGCCATCGTCTCTCTGAAAGAGAAGGGGGTCAGTTCCTGACTTGGATGACCTCTTCCAATGGAAGACACAGAAAATTGCCTCAAAGGACAGGAATTCGGAAAGGGTCCACAAGCAAGACCAACTTCTGAGCTAACCCTGCGGGAGCACAGTTTTTGAACCATCGAAAGGAGCCACCCAGGTTTTGATCTGATCTTTTCCCCCTGGACCACGCCATCGAATCATCGAATCCGAAAGAAAAAGCCAGCGAAGATGGACGACGGGGGCCGCGTTTTGTCATCGGAGTTCTCTCGTGGACCAATTCTCCTCCGGCCCCCCCACCCCCAAAGAAAAAAGAGGGACTGTCAGATGGGGTCAAATTGGCGGTTTTGCTTTGGTTGTCCCTGGAGGTCGGCCAGTGGGAAGGTTCGTGGTTGACTGACAGGGATCTCAATGAATTTGGATTGGTGGTTTGGAGTCAGATTACCCTGCCAAAGCATGAGGGGATGTGAAACCACCTATCCAAACCATCGATTGGGGAAAAGGCGGCGGAACAGGTATGACTAGACATGTTCAAGGGGCAATCCGTTCAGTGGAGAGAACAGGGGTTAGGGGGAAGATTGCAACAACTCAAAAGAAACCGAGCAAAAAGAAGTCATCTGCAAGAGCGTCTGATTCTGGGCACCGGCCCATTTCGGATCAGGACGATCACTATGAAACGCATGATTTACATGATACTCTGGATGCTATTTGTGCCCTGTCAAAGGCAAACACCCTCTTGACCAAATCTCTGAGACGCGAAACAAGCCCAAAAAGGTGCTAGCAACTTGTCTGAGTTTTTGGGTAATCGCCTCCCTCAGAAGGCAACCTTCAAAATTCAAATTGGGATGGGCGGAAAGAATTTCTGCCGCGCATCGCCCGTTTCACAAGCAAAGCGCCGGGAATCTAAGGTTTGCGAGTGAAGGCTCAAGCATGGCAAGTTGACTGCAAATGCCTTACAGTTTTGCGAAAAAGGAGCCACACAGATCTCGCCCCTTGTTGCAGAGAAACTTCGGGCGGAAAGCCCTTTTTCGCCCGGGGCGACAAAAAAGGAACCTACCCAAAATTGGGGGAGACGGTTTCTCCAGAAGAAAAGAAACAAAACTCGGCCATCGGCCCTGCGGGGCCAAGGCGCTCCTGCGCCTTGGCCTGCAGCTCGCCCTTGGACGCCTCGACGCGCTGGACCTCCTCGGAGGCGAGGCCCGCGCTGCTCTGCAGCCTCGCGACCCGCGCGAGGCGTCGATGTGGAGCTGTCGGGCCGAGCTGCGGCGCGCCGCGGTTCGACAGCTAGCGGAAGGGCGGAGGGAGGTGTGGAGAGGTGGAGAGGGGAGAGGTGGAGCGCCCAAAAGGCAAATCATTCCAATGGTCGACCTTGATGGTGGCAAACAGCTATGACAACCACGAGTCCGAATCATCGTAAATCGGGAACCTTACCTCAATTCGGCATAGACAATTCACGAAACACCACTTTCTGCCACTCAAACTCTGCTTGCGCTCTATACACGGCCTCCCAAAGCCCTCCCGGGCACAGTGACGTTTGTTTTCGTGTCCCTTGAGCTGTCAGCCTTCCAGCCTCGACCCAGCATGACCAAAATCAACTAAAACAGACAACACGGTTGCAGGAAACGTGACAGGACTCGCCATCTTGAAAAGGAATGGGTGAACGACATATGTGCTACGGTCCCAATGTCTTGTCCGTCATGGTCATGTTCACGCTCGGAACCTTTACAATGGTTGCAAACCTAAGATTCCTCTCCAAAGGCTTAGCGGCTAAGGACCTCCCCAAGCAAGCCATGTGAAATTGAAACTGTTCACTTCTTGGCCATGGCACGCCTGATATGCATACATACCCAGTCTTGCTAGGGTGCAAGTCTGCTCCGTGTTCCCAAAGGTGTCCCTTTGGGTCTGATCAAAGGAAGCTTAGAAGGAAAATCCGAGTACTGGAACTAATGGAGCTGCCGTTTCTCTGACAAGTAAATATGCATGAATTTGTGTACAAAAGTCAATGATGGGTGTATACATATATATATATAATAGATACATTGGCATTGTGCGTGAAAAGCATGGAAAATGCTTAAAACAAATCACGAGAACTGGGGTATGGCCGGAGTTTAAAAAGCATGGCCCTCGGGCATGCGGCCCCTCGTCTCTTGGGCGCACAACATGCATCGCGACTCCTGACTCTGACGGAAGCATGTTCGGAGCGGACCATGCTCGGCCGGCCGCGCGCACAGCTTCGCAACTACGCTCGCGCAACCTCTGCTGGACTTTCGCGGGGTCGACATGCGGGGGAAACAAAATATGCGGCGTTTGTTGATGTTTGCGGTCTTCGCTTCGCGCTGTGGACTTTCGTGGGGTCGGTCTTGAAAAGCTCTGTTGCTTCGGTGTTTGAAACTTTCGTGGGTGCACAGACAGAGAGAGGGAGAGAGAGAAACAAAGACAAGGAGAAGGATAAGGAACAGGAGATAAGAAGAAAGGGAAAGAGAAAAAAGAGGGAGAAAGAGAAAGAGAAAACAATATAGAGAGAAGGGAAAAGAAGATCGCTCTAACCTACAGTTGTTATATCTTTGGAGCCTCCGCCTTCCGGCGTAGCCGGACTTTGCAGGTAACAAACGGGTTCCCTCCTTCCAGTTTGGATAACCTTTCCCAGTGGAATCCTGAATCCATCTATTCTAATTGGACACCCCCAGACTTCCAGCGGAATTCGTAGACAACAAGAAACGAAAGGCCCCTTTCTGTAGGTACTAAACCATGTTCTAGTGGGGTCCAAAAAGACAAGTTGCCTTCCCAAATCATGAAGCAATGGCAAGTACCTCTTTAGCCACCTTCCAAAAGAGAGGAAACATGGCACCATTGCATTTGTTGGCACCCTACAAAACAATTCGAGGACAAACAAAGACCCCGCCGTTTAGGTGCCTGAATCCCTGGACACAATGGGGGCTCATATATATCCACCATCCTTTAAGGATCGTCCTCCTCCAACTTGGGTCAACCGTTCTTGTCATGGGGCTTGAACCGTGTGGCCAGGCTCATATATCCACCACCGTTTACCTAAGGATCGTCATCCTCCAACTTGGGTCACCCGTTCTTTTCATGGGGCTTGAACCGTGCGGTCATGTTCCAGGCCATTCCCTCCCAACCGCTCCCGGCGGCACCTGGAGACGATGGACTCCAAGGTCTCCTGAAGCATCTTCACGTGGGCCTCGCGGGATGTCTCAGGCACCCGAGTAGGCGTGGGGTCTCGAGACTCCGAGGGGGTCCAGTTTGCTCTCCTTCACAAACCAACCCCACAGAGTGGGGTACCCGGAAAAAAAAAAAAAAAAAAAAAAAAAAAACGCGCACCCAGGTGTTTTTTGTTGGGAAGATTCTTGCGGGAAGGAGCCTTTGTTTCTGTTGGGTGTATTTGTTTGATTTTGGCGCGAACCGAAGATTTGGGGAAGAAGGAACCTTTGAACGTGCGGATGTTTTGTTTCGCAGGAACTCTCAGGCATTTGCCTGTCGGAAGGGAATGAGCGGTGTTGTTTCTGTCTCTAGGATTTTGCTAAGGGAACAGAAACAAATTCCGAAACAATAGGAAAGTCCTTCGAAGGGGTAAGGTTGCCAACCCCGAAGGAAGGTAAGGAAAGTCCTTCAGGGAAGCCTTCTGTAGGACTTTGCTGTAGGACTTTGCAAACTCCAAAACAAAAGGACTGGCATCCCAACGACACCAAGCCAGCCAAAGGAAGTGCAACCCAAGGAAAATGCAAAACCCGAAATCTTCACTGCCCGGGTTTGGAACATGCTTGGTTACTTGGGGGTGGGTCAAAAGTAGGGTAGCCCCAGAAGGGAACCCTGGTAAATGGAAACAAAGACTAAAACCTGCTGTGCGTTGATGTGCGTCAAGATGGGATAGCCCCAAAATGGTGGGGGCTCTTTTTGCTTCCCTTTCAGCCCTGGACAGGGCACCAAACACCCCCGTACAGAACTCCTGGCTGCGCTCACAACCCTATCTTGGCTCCCCCGGTCAAAAACACAAGCACCTCTCTCGGAACAGCCCCACCTCCTGGTACTGGTGGCGCTCGTTCACCGGCACGCAGATCCCCTGCGAGAAACCGAGTCGACCGAGTGACTGCAAGGAGCCAAGCCATGAGATGTGAAGAACATCCCTGCAGGTTCGCAGTTCGCAGCAGCTCGCTTTTTCACTGTTTGGCATCTGGCCGGTTTCCTCCTCCACAGTTCCTGCATGCCTGTTGGCCGCGTTCATGCCTGCATCATCTCCATCCCGCAAGGGTGTGACCCAATCCAATTGCGCCATTTACTTTCGGCTGCTGTAGAATGGTCCATGGTTTTCAAGGTATCCATGAAGAGCTTGTGAACATTCCGCCTGTCGCGAGACCTGCACACCTGAGCAGATTGACGGATTGTGCAGCAGGATTGAAGTAGTTTTTTTCGTATAACGTTTTGGTGTGCTAATTGCTCAGGTCCTTAAAATATTGCTGTCATTGGACCGACATGTAGTTGCCATGTTTGAGGAGATGACATTTTACCGTCAGGAGCCGTTTTGCTTGGGGCACACAAGGCCAGTTTATCCTGGGTCGGACGCATTCCCACAGGCTCGCGCCAACTTGCCCTCGCTGCAGTGGGTGTGTGTTCCTAGGCAGGATCAGAATCATGTTTGCTCACACACCCACACACACACAAAGAAAACAACAACTCCATGTTCCTAGCAAGCGCTCTTCTGCTTCGAGAGTTGGATTGAGATCGCTCACGCTGCCAACCTGTTGGCTGTCTCCGAGTCTCCTGGGTCTCACCAAGAGCCTAAAATTGACCTGTTGTTGTGGGGACTTCAAACTAAGTCCTGACCACAAGAAAATACTGTGTGCAAATATATGGTCCCGTATGTTAACGACCAACTCTGACTTCCCTTCTTGTTGAGGCTCTTCCTTACTGCAGCTGCAGAAAGCAGGCCTCACGTTTGGAGCCCAAAACCAAAGGCGGAAAAGACATCACACACACATCTTTAGGTAGGAGTTCGCCCTTTTCCTAAACAACCACGATAAAATATGTCTGGTGCTTGGAAACTTGTTGGCTTGTGGTACCCTTACCAAGCACTGCTCATGAATGTCGTCCCAAAACGCCAGTCACTTGTTCCAAAAGTGTCCAAAAGGACACCTAGGATCAAACTGCACCCAGTGCGACAACAAAACCATAGATTCCATGGACGCACCCCCCCTCCCCCCAACAGCTCCAACAAACACACACACACACACAACACACACCCCACCCAACACAACCCCACCTTCCCCCCCACCCCCAACACCCCCCCCAACAAACCCCCCCCCCTCCCCAGCAGCACCTCCGGCAGCATGGCCACCAACATCTGCCGCACTGAGGCTGGGAGCTCGGCCGCCGGGTGCTGCAGAGCCTCCACCACGCCTTACGCGGTCGTCAGGTCCATGGCCAGAACCACGGGTGGTCCAACTCCTTTTTAAACGTCACATCCCGGCTCGAGAAAAAGAAGAAAAAAAAACACCCTTTCAAGACAAGAACGCATCTCTTGGCTGCTCAATCGCCTGGGGCAACAAACAAAAAGACGCGCTTGGCCTTTTTCGGGCAAGGCGCCGTCATACTCCGCCTCAACCACCCCGTACTTCCGGAAGGTCTCCTTCATCCTCTTGGCCTCCGGAGTCAGGGTCACCTGGCGCAGTTTAGGCTCCAACTCAGTTGCAACCAGTTTGGACCCCAATATGAAAGGTGATCACCTGTTGGGGCCATGACTAAAAATGTAGGGCCACCCAAGAAGGGAATTCAAAAGGTCACAAGGTCGATTCCCTAGAATTTGGAGCATGGCAAAGACCGACTCCAACACCAGACCACATAAGTGTTCCTAAATCCGCCGGCGCTGCCGGCGTGTCTTGTGGATGTTCTGCATGTGTAGTCTTGTTTGTGTTTTAGTGCTGTGTTGTAGATTGTTCCTTGGCGCGGATTTCTGCCTCGTCTAAACTGACTTCACCCCCCCCCCCCTCCCCCCCCCGTAGTCTTCCGTGCTTCCGTGGTCTTCCGTAGTCTTCCGGCTTCTTCCCGTAGTATTCCGTAATCTTCCGTAGTCTTCCGGTTTCTTCCCATAATCTTCCGTAGTCTTCCGGCTTCTTCCCGTAATCTTCCGAGTCTTCCGGCTTCTTCCCATAATCTTCCGTAGTCTTTCGGCTTCTTCCCGTAGTCTTCCATAATCTTCCCGCTTCTTCTCCTAGTCTTCCATAATCTTCCCGCTTCTTCTCCTAGTCTTCCGATAATGTTTCGGGACCAAACAACGCGCGTTAGGACTCAATCGCGTGTCCTGTGCTTTCGGGCTTCTTCCCTTAGGCTTCGGGCCGTCTTCCCCACCCCTCCGCCCCCCCCCCTGTGCCTGTCTATGTCTGTCTACGTATCTGCGTCTGTCTTCGTGTCTGCGAAGACCCCCCCCTGCCGCTGCGTGTCTGTCTGTGTCTCTTTGTGTCTGTCTGGGTCTGTCGGTCTTCGTGTCCGCAAAGACCCCCTGCGTGTCTGTCTCTACAAGCACAAGCGCAAGCAAGTAAGTCAGATCACGCGTGCTTGCTGCGCTTGCGCTTCGATTGTCTTAAGCTTAAACACAAGCACACGTACGTAAGTGAGATCGCGCGTGTTTGCTTATGCTGCGCTTGCGCTTCGCTTGTCTACGCTTCAGCGGGGCGCGGGGGGGGGGGAGGGGGGGGGGGGTTCGAGCGTGGCTAAAGCTGCACTTTGGTACGGTCATCTGTCTAAGGAACTTCTAAGGATGGCTCTAAAGATGAGCCTGCGTGACTGTGCAACTGATGCTAGCTAGCAAAATTTGACTGCCTGAAGCCGCGGGAGCCGGCGGAACACGCCAACGGCGGTTAAATAATTTCAGTCAGGAGCTGAGATCTGTTTGATATGGAAAGGAGAACGATTGTACATGTGGCCTTAGCTAACAAGCTGCACATCAACTGCAATGGTTGATATTTCCACGAAACACAACTTGTGTCAGCAGGTGTTCCACATCTTTCCACATCAAAAGAAAGTTTCACCCATATTTCCACATCTATTTAGCTGTTTGTCGAAGCAAGCAACTAGTGCCAGGCGCTATTTGTCCAGCGAAGGGCACGGATCGGAGAAAAGGCTCTTGCTGGACCTTGGCAAGGTGACCCTTGCTTGGGCTCTTCACCACGGGCAGGCAACCACAGGCAGGCAGGCAAGCAAGCGTGAAAAAAGAAGAAGAAAAAAAGCCAGCCAGTGAGCGAGCAGGCTGGCGGCAGGCAAGCAGGCAAGGCAAGCAGGCAAAAAGGCAAGCAAGCTAGCGAGCAAGCAAACAAGCAACCGGGCAAGCAGGCAAATAAACAAGCAAGCAAGCCAGCAAACAGACAAGCAGGTAAGCAGGCAAGCAAACAGAGGCAGGCAAACAGACACGCAAACGGAAGCATGCAATGCAAGCAGTCCCCACATTGGCGCCTCCGCGGCCGCGGCACGCTTAGTTCCCTTCTTTGGGGCCATGATCAGCGAGTTTTTGGGCAGAGGCGGGGACGCGGAGACGCGGAAGGCGCGGGGAGCGGATTCCTGGAGCCAGGAAGGCGCCAAATTCCGAGCCACGATGCAAATGGCGTTTCCCCCAAGAAAACCATGAGAAAAAACTCAGGGCTCCGAATTCCGACGTTTCCCTGTTTGTTGCCCCACCTCCAGGAAAGGTTCTTAGAACCGTTCTTGGAAGGGGTTCCTAAGAACTTTTCCGCGGGGTTGCGGGGGTCCTGATAAGTCTTCCGAGGCTTTCCCATGGTTTTTAGACTCTGCAGCACAATGATCTTCAATGTGAACAAGCTGAACATCAAGTACTCCCAGGAATCAGGTGGCTGTCTCTCAAACCCATTTTCACGATTGCAAAAGGAAACTACCACGACCCCAAAACAAAACTGTTCAACCCATTCTGGTTCTCCGACCACCCTCTGAGCAAGACCGCTCAAACGTCCCTCCTGCGCCGAGCATATTCGGCTGACTTCCCCAACAGAAGCTCGGCCGCAACCAGTTGCTGTCAACAGGCTGCAATCAAAAAGCCCTTTTTCGCGATGGTGAACTAGCAGCGTCACGGAGGACGCAGGTGCCGGCAGGGCGAGACAGGGCAAACCGCCCTTTAAAACGCCCTACTCGGGTACGTATTCCCAATTGGCCACTGCTTGAAAATCACGAGCTTCTTTTTGGTGACCCTTTCGATAACACCGACCGAAAGGAAGCCCCCATTTTTAGGACACCCCATGTTTCATGCGCGACACAGCCCTTTTCTGTGATGCCACTCCCCAACCACACTTCACCCCAATTCACCCCCTGCTCCAATGTAATGTTGACCCCGGATTAATAAACCCCTGTTTATTAATATGGGGGTGTTCCCCTCCAAAAGTGATAAATCCCCACTAAAACCGGGGACACCCCCAGGTCAACATTAACAGGTTGATTCTTCGCCGGGGGAAAGAGGTTGAATCTCCCCGAGCCAAAACCAAAACCTGCTGATCTCGCCGCTGGATTCGTTTATGGGCTCGAGAAAAAGACATGACTACGCAAGCCCTTGCAGTACATCCCGGTGCTGCTTTTTTTGTGTTTTGCTCCATCCCTTTGAGGAAAAGAGGCATCGCGGATGTTCACAAACATCTGCACCCGCCCCACTCCGGCCCCTTGCCTTGCCCTTAAACCTGCGCTTCTTGGAAGCAGCGGTAAAGCCGTACAACCGCGAACGAACCGGAAGACGGGGCTTCGACACACAGCGAGCTATGGCCAAACAAGAGCCATGCGCTTTACGCTCGAGCTTCCCGGTTCAGGACACTGAAAGGGGGCTCTCAGAAACAAGAGTAGTGTGACACGTCTCCGCTGGAGGAAGCCCAACAAAAATTGCACAATGCGGGTTGTGAACATTGTGCATTTGGATGGGGGGGTTCAAGCAAAGCAGCTGGAAATACTGCGGTGTTCGAAGATCAATTTCAGGAGGTTTGTGCACCTTCCGCGGCTCGCTGCGGTTGAAGACCCAGCATGCGCCGATGGAATTGAAGGGGCCAGCCCTATGCCCAGCTGGTGTCGGTTCAAGGGCCTCGGGGTTCGAAATCACCTCGCCTGTGGCTCGGCCGAGGCTTAGGTCTTGAACGCGCGGTCAAGCCGCGCCTCAGGTGCGATTCTCGCAATCCTGTCTGCAACCGTTACCTTCCACATAGCCTGTCCAGAATCAGAAGTACAAAAGCCAGCGGCCGAAATCACAGGAAGGCAAAAACACCTCTCAAGTCCCCTTGCCTCTCAGCATTGGCACGACGCAAACTTACGCAGATCAGCACCCCGGGGTGCCTGTCCATTTGCGAGAAAAATCGTCATGCGGTGCAAATGGACGTGGTTGGGTTAACACGCGCATCGCTCCATCACCCTGCCAGCTTTGATTGCTTGACATCTCGACGGCGAAGACGCAGGTGGTTCGAGTTCATGCCACACGCTCTCTGAAACGATCGGCCCCGGCCATTGGCCACATGGCTGATGTGCAGGGTGATGTGCAGGGTGATGTGGGTGCAATGTTGGATTATGCCAACTCCATGGCCTGCAACCCTTTGGCTGCAAAAGCCCCGCTCTCCTGTTGCGACCTGAGCCATCAGAGATGACAAGCCCATGGAAAACAACCACCTGGTTTGGGCACCCGTGTTTTTTCATTGTTGCCTGAACAGAAGCGGACTTGGCTTACCCCTTTGTCACTACAAGGGTACAACTAGCCGCTGCTGCTATTCGTTTCAGAACAGAAGAACAGAATATGTCTTTGGCAGCAGGTTGCCACACCAAAGCTGCCCTTGCGTGGTTACAGGTGTGCACTTCCTCCCCAAATGCCACACGTCGCCATCGGGCTCGCCCGTTCTGTTTTTGGGACATAAGGGTCAACTCGGGGTCCAGGCTTGAGATGCCAGCGACTCCTCCCAAAACTTGACTAGGGGAATCCATCTCAGTTGTTCAGTGACCCTGCAAAAAAGGAATTGGAACCCTTTTTGGGGCTTGGACCCTTTTTGGTGGGGCCGCCACCCAAAAAAAGGGGGAAAAAAGAATCGGTGCCACTGAACAACTGAGGCATTGAAGGAATCTGCTCATCAGGTTCCGCCTGGGCCGTTGAAATTCAAGGCAGCCGAACACAAGATCCCCTTGTGACAGCCTTGGCTATATGTGCTTGTTGAGGACACCCCCAACACTAAGTGCGGGCAATACACGCGTAGATGTACGTGCACCTGTACATACATACATACATACATACATACATACATACATTACATTACATTACATTACATTACATTACATTACATTACATTACATTACATTACATTACATTACATTACATTACATTACATTTACATTACATTACATACATACATACATACATACATACATACATACATACATACATACATACATACATACATACATACATACATACATACATACATACATACATACATACATACATACATACATACATACATACATACATACATACATACATACATACATACATACATACATACATACATACATACATACATACATACATACATACATACATACATACATACATACATACATACATACATACATACATACATACATACATACATACATACATACATACATACATACATACATACATACATACATACATACATACATACATACATACATACATACATACATACATACATACATACATACATACATACATACATACATACATACATACATACATACATACATTTCATACATACATACATACATACATACATATATATATATATATGTCATTGAATTCTGCTCACGTATTTACACACAAACACATTTGGGGGGAAGTCACTCATCCAAAGCCCTCCGTATGCTGCAAATCCACCCTGTGCCAAACTTGCATGGCCCAAACAGCGCACTTGCAAGGCAATGGCCTTTGCAAATGTAGCGCGATCCAGGTAGCGCAGCCCAGCCCCAAATTTCACTTCCAGGTTGGCGCAATCCAAGTATCACGTGCGCGGGCGCCGCGGGCCGAAAAATCGAACCCGCCTTTCACCTTCATGTGAACCGCTGGCGTTGGAGGAACAAATCCCCAAGCGCTCCCTTTGCTTTTTCCGGGCTGTCATCAGATCCCCAACTTTTCGCGGGATCAAATCCCCACCAGCCCCCAAAAAAAAACAAAGAAGCTCAGGAGCTCTTGACGGCCGGGAAAAAAGAAAAACACCTCCCGAGATGTTTCCGCCTGTGGCCTGGCGAGAGCGGCTCCTTGCGTGGCCTGTTCCTTCCTTTGGCCCCGGGCGTCCTTCATTGCTCCGGAAGAGCTGAGCCTCGGCTTCGTCAGCTTGGGGCAGCCTCGCCTCTGGGGTGCCCGTGAAGTCAAAGGGAAAAACCTGAAGTCGAAACCAACCCCCCAAAGAAAGGTCGGTTGGGAAAACCAGTTTCCTTGGAGCAAGAGAAACGTCCAAAGGACGGTTTTGTTTTCTTCCCACCTTTGGTCAGGTGGCCATGGCAGATGGCTGTGGCAAAGGACACGGGCACTCGGGCACCTCCCTCCCGGAAAAGAGCCAGATTCATAGGTCCATTGAAGTGAACAGGTGTTCTCAATATTACACGTTTCTGGGGTGTTTCCCTGTAAACCACATAGAGTCGAGTTTTGAGGATGGCACCTTGATGGACCTAGTACCTAGTCGTAGGAAAGTATATCTCTTGCCTATTCTACTCTAAAGGTAAAGGAGGGAACACAGAAAGGCCCCATGTAACAGGAAGACACCTCAGCTGGCAGGGATGATTGCACTGTGGATGCCACTCGGTTGTGTTGGCCCCGAAAAAAAAAAAAAAAAAAAAAAAAAAAAAAAAAAAAAAAAAAAAAAGTGATGCGCGTTGCCACAACAATCCTTCCAGGTCATTGCATTGCAGCGAGCGAACATGTAGATCATCGCGAATCCCTGCACGGCTACCTTCAAGTTCACATTCCTAGGACCATTTCCTGAATTCTTTGGTGGGCGTCATTGACATGGTATTTGTGTTCACTCATTCTTGAGATGTTCCCGATTAAACAAGAGAAGCATAGGCTGTTAACTAGCAGCAAAAATCCCCAAGCCAAATCTCCACCCCCCATCGTGTTGAAACCATGTCTTCTGAGTTCACATCTTTTTGGCTTCCCTGAAGAAAGAATTGGACCGACTCGGGGTTGGTTTGTGAATCACGCTGCTTCCACTTCCACCTGGTTTGGTCCCTTTCAAGACGGGGACCCAAAGGCTCTACAAAATTCCGTGTGGTGTCCGACGCCCTTTTAAAAGGGCGCCAGCAAGACTTGTGCCGGAGGAAAAGCCAAATCCACTGTGGAAAATCATGTGTGCCAATCTACTTGTGCATTGATCAAAAGTTCCTTTGCATGAAACGACCATTAGTGCAAACCCACCTCAAAAAAAGATGTTCTGTTTTCCCCGCATGGGCCAAGCTGCCCATGGTCAAAACCTGGGGCCTCTAACGCAACTGCCGCCAGCCGCCTTCGATGGATTTCTCTGGGCCTTCCGGCAGTCCCAGGCGAAGCCCACGGGGCCGTCCTCGTCCAGCTCCTCCTCTACAAAGAGGTCGTCCGTCATCTCGTTCTTCCTGGAAAAAGCGCGACCCGCCGAGCCAACCGAAGAAGGTAGCTCAACGGCAACCCCGAAAAAGGTAGCTCAACAGCAACCAAAAAAAGAGAACACGGCGACACTGGAGGTTCATAGAGGAAAAAAACAGATGTATGTTGGTTCTGGGTGATTCTAAACGGAAACCGGGCACTGAGTATAATGATACCAAAACAAAGCAAACCAATCGAAACAAGGAGAAAATCGTGTCCAGGTTGAGCCCTTCGGGGTTGGTCTGCTATTGGAAGGGTGCACAGTTGGCCCCGAAAAAACACACCCGCTGGGCACGGCCATTTTTCTGGACACCCACCGCAAAAGCCTTGGCTTTTCTGTCGCTTCGCTCGGGTCCGCCCGGGTCCACCAACGGTTGCGAAGCGGCCTGAGGTTCACGGCCAGGCAAAGGAAGGCGTCGATACTGCGCCCCACGTCCTCCGCCTGAACCTCGATGGCCTGGCAGGGCTAGGTCCTCCAGTAGAGAGGTTAGAATAAGGATACCAACTATTTGTCTGCAGTCGATTTGAGTAGTGGAACCCTCCCCCAAAAAGGGGTCAAAGGGCACTACTGGTGACCTAGCAGGTGCTCTGAACGCCCATTTTACCCGGAGATATAGCGGGTTTGGAAAAAAACAAACGAAGTCTGGAAATTGGTTCTCTCAGGTTGGCACCTGGGAAAAGGTGCGTTTTGCCTGAAGGGGGGGTCTGCTAGGGGTCAAATAGAACCTGGCAAGGCCCGACATTGGCCCCGACATTGCCTTGCAACACGTCTCCCTTTGAAAAGGATAGGCTTCGAACGGCAAATAACTCGACCGCTGCAACAAGTGGCCCATTTTCCACGAGCCCTTCGAATCCCCGGGGCGTGGATGGACAGCCCAAAAGGTCGCGGGAATGCTCTCGGGCACTCAGGCACCGCTTGGGCCGAAGGGTCACCCTCTGAACTGATGGAGAAAGCAAAAGGGAAAAGGTCGAAAGCCCCACGCGTCTGCGCCTGACTGAACAAAAAAGAACGCTGCTGCGGGCTAGAAACCAACAGGCTGCGGGTGTTTTGTCAGGGGTCTTGGCGTGCGACCCTCACTTCAAGATCCATCCCTAGTGACCCCAAGTAAGCAGGTCTTTTGGCCGGGGCACACGTGGCAGCGACAGGCCGCATCCACCCCTTAGGGTGCGCTTTTGACCAGTGCAGTTGGCAGAATGAATCACGCACCGTGCTGTCGACCCTGTTGAGGATGCCCTTTATTTCCGAGCCCAAAACAACACAAAACATCATGAAACCAACAGAAAGGCACCGAACAAAACAGACGAATGCAAACGAAGCGAAAACAAACAAAGCGAACATAAATCAAAACAAGCAAGAAAGCAAGCAAACAAACAAACAAACAAACCAACAAACAAATAAACAAACAAAGGCTTGAATCATGAATTGTACACTGTTCCCCTCCCTTCCCAACAGCTCCCGCCTGTCTGATGCCAGTGAGCGCCGTGACCACCTGATTGATGCCTGGCCGCCCGACTTCCGTGCCCAGCGCGCCGCGAAGGCGCCGCGCTCCAAGTACCCTTCGAGCGACTCACATGTCACCTGGAGGTACCTGGAAGATGCCTTTGAAGGGAGCCCCTGTCAGTTGCCATGCTAGTAGATGGCACTGTTCGCGGGCAAATGCAGAGTAAAATGGATATCTAAACCAAAATGGGAGGGATCATGCCATGTACTTTCGCCCAACGTTTCCAGGACCGACATATACATTCTCAGACCCGCCCCAGTCTGAAACCTTAGGCTGCATTCAGCTCCAAAAAACTAGGCCCGGCTTGCACGCCGATCGAAGGCTTCGAGTTCCCAGCTGAGTACCCTTGTACTTACCTGAGAAAGCTAGCCCAACCACATACTCAACCCAGCCAAGGTATAGCAACGTCGAATGAACACCAGAAAAGTGATTAAGCCCGAAGTCGGAGGTCCTAGTGAAACAAACCTAGCCGCAAGACATGCGCGGAAATTGGAATGTACCGGGGGGCAAAGCGGGAATTCAAACCCTTGGGGGGGGGCAGGGGGCAAGTTCTGCTACATTCTCAAAACAGCAGCGCCCAAAGCGCATTGACATGTGGTTCCAAACCAACATGGTTGTGCAGGTTTATGCGGGTATGAATTTCATTTGGGCCCCTGCTGGACCTCATGTACCTTGGACGATCGGTTCCTTAGGATCGTTCTTGGCAGATCGGCGAGATCGGGGTTCGGCGTTCACCCCGCGCGACGGGGTTCGCCGGCCTTGCAGCAGCGTGGTGGGCTGCAGCTTTTCCTCTAGGCCGCCATCCTCACCTCGACTGCGGAAACGGCGGGGTGTGCGGAAAGGTCAGCCTTGGACCCTTAGTTTGTTTTTGTTGTTGTTATCTCATCATCATCAATATTATTATTAGTTTGATCAATCCCTCAAATCAAGAACCCCCAAAAAGTATCAAGGGAAAAATAGGGAGGTTGCATTCTTGTGTGGTTCCCTTGTTGGGAGAACATGAACCAGCCCCCCGAAAAAAATCGTGTGCTTACGGCGATGCCTGCCGCTGCCCAACAAAAGGGGTCACCCTGACCCATTCGCTCAAGCGAACCAGCTATGCAAATCGACATGGAACCTTACAAGGGAGTTTTCCTTGGGGCCGCGGCTCACCGCGGCCGGCACCCAGGCGCACGACTCGTCCCCTGCCATCCGCTTGTCGAAGCGGCGAGGAAAAAAAAGGAGGAAAACGGAAAAGACGAGGATCCTCGTCGAACGGGAGTGGATTCAGATTCAGGGTCATCCTGGCACATCCAGCAGTGTGAGGAACATGGAGCAACGGAAAGACAACCTCAGCCACACGCTATGAAAAGTTGACGGGCATCCCCTAATCTCTGGCTTGGTTCCTGAAAGCTCCCGCAGTTGTTCGAAAGTCGAAAGGAACCCCAGACCCAGAAAGATGCCAAACCTGTTCCCATGCTGAGTGCAACACGCTCGCGGCGGGCCGGCTGAAGCGCAAACGTTTGATTTTCTGCCTTTTCGGCGTCTCTTGACATCCGAGGCCAAAGAAGGCAGTGCATAGGACTGAAATCTCACTGGGCCGAGTGGTTCTGTGGGGCTCACTCTTGTCCTTCTCCGGTATTGCTTTACCAGCCCAGCGTCTTAGATCGTATGGAGCTTTTGCTTTTCCACTTATCCACCTTGTACATGCCCATGCGACCTTGGTCAAACCTAGACCAACAAACTAACAACCATCTATCCTTGGGGCGCACGCCGTATCTTCCTCACGGATGTCCCCCCGCACCATGCCTGACTTGAGATCCTCACCTCGGGCGGGGGCACGCAAAAAAGGAGGCCAGCAGCTCCCGCAAGCCCACCCTCCAAGACAGATTGGAGAACTTGGTCAGCCTGCGAAATCGAACATAGGCTTCCTGGTGAGGCTTCCCTGTCTGAATTTCCTGTGGGGCTGATGACCACCTCAAACCCAAAAGACCTGTCTTTTGAAAACAACTTTACACAAGCACAACATGAAAAGAAGGGCCATAAGCCTGGAATGGCACCCACTGAAACTTCGAGGAAGTTCCAAGGCGATCACCACTGACTGACGCACCAGGTGGCCAGAATCCTGCAAATCTTGCGCTTCCTTTGTCTACGCTCAACTAGCGCAAAATGCTTAGCCCCAGGACGGTCCAGACGCGCTCTGTGTGCCGTCTGCCCAGCAGAAGAATTACAAAACAGATCAAAACAAATGCGGCGTGGGGAATGCTTGCCACCTTTTCGGGCTGGTTCCGCGATGAATGGTCTGCCTGCCGATCATTCGAAACTCCGTGCTGTGGCTGTTTCAAGGCGTGGATAGGAGTTTGGGCCACTCAGGCGGCCCATTCATCAGGAATGCCTATGGGAGGCGGTGCACCAAGGCCGCGAAACGCAGCGCCAACGGCTTCATGGCGGGCCAGCGGCTCTCTCAGCTGAGGCGAGGGCCTTTCTCATTCAACATGACCACCTGGCCGCGCCCAGTTGCGACTTTGCCCCTCCCGATATATGCTCGGAATGATACACCCTTCCGCGTCAAACTCCCATGTCGGCCTCACCCGAAGCAAACAATACAAAACAAAAAGCTGCGCGCCGTGAGTCCGCAAGCATGACGACGAGGCGATCCCAGGCGAAACGTCAGCGATCTGACCCAAACAATGCCCTCTGCCCCACTTGCCCAACAGACCCTGAACCCAAGTGCTTACCTGGGGCCATGACCATGATGACACACAGGGCCCAAAGAAACCAAACAGCCAGAAGGTTGGGCTCGAGCAAATTGCCCTTCACTCCCTTGAAGCCCTCTTCAACTCTCGACCAGCTGTGAATGCACCTGCTCCTCTCTTCGATTTCGTGTTCAGACGGATCGCTTATCAACTTTTTGGTGTAGCGCCCGGCACAAGCGAGTATCGTTCCCCAAGCCCAGCCCATGGAGCAGAACGGCTTGTTTGCAATGGCATCTAAAACTCTACTCCCACTTTTACCCTCCAACCTGGCCAAAGCCGTTCCTTGTCCGCACTTTCCTGAGGATTCTTCTTTGACGCCAAGGCTTAGTGAAAGTTGCAACGCGAACCTCCAAGCAAAAACCCATAGGACTCCACCTCGACAGATGACATAAGCAGGGCGAAACTGCGGGCTGCGGATCGCGAACAGAGGCCCTGCTGGGAATAGAGCCGATTCTACGCCACGCCATGCGCGCCTCTCTGACTTGAGAAGGTGAATGAAGCGTCGCAAGTGTCACAAGAGCGCAACTTCCTGGTAATGTCCCAAATGGCAGCGAATGTGAATGCAATGCATATCGGAAGCATTGCCAGCGACGCAGTACAACAACACGACGTGTTGTATGGCAACGTGTGTATGTCCCTCACGAAGAGTGTTGAAGTTAAAGGCCATCTTGGCTCTTGGCGCCCTATGAGATGCCCAATACATTTCTATTGAGCTGTGCGTGTACATATATGCATGCACCAGCCTGGCTTCCTTCGTTTCCGTCACCAAGCACCATGCAAATCACGCATCTGCTCGGCCCGCCTCCGGCGAATCGCCGAGCCCGGAACCCTCCAGTGAGTCCTGGGCCCGACGATTTGCGCAGAAAGTAGGGTGGCTACCTGCAAGGGCTAGGGTTACACCCAGCTCAAAGAGAGTTTCCCATGTTTGCCGTTTTCCATATGTCCAGACTTGCTGACAAACCCAGGCTTTTCTGGCTGCCGTGCAAAGTCGGGACCCTTCTCCCCACTCACAGGCGAACGCAAAAAGGCCCGTTACTTTCAGAGGTCGACAAGTGAACCGTGGGCAAAAGACTCGCATGGAACAAGCGAATCCGACAGGCGACGTTCTCGGCCACTCATTTCCCCCTGCCCCAACATATTTTCCTTCAGGAGCCCGCACTGTTGTCATGTTTGGCCTGTCACAAAGCTACAAGACACATACATACGTATATATATATATATATATATTAATATATATATATGCAACCCCCCCCCCAGGGACCTACCTTTTGGTTGCCTCTCCAGTGCATGAATTGCCTGCCCATCTAGGACTGGGAGGAACGATCTCTCAACTAGGACCAGGACCAAATGAGACTAGAACCCAGGATCTCTCAACTGGGACTAGGACCAAACTAGGACTAGACGACCCACCCCAGATTCAAGTATAACTTCCTCTGCAATGTCCTGTATATGTTCTAATTATTGCAGTAAACTAGGGAGCAACCTAACACTAGAACCAAGGATCTCTCATCTAGGACCAAACTAGGACTAGACAATTTAATTCTACTTCTTATAGTATTTGGATGTCAAGTATTACATTCTGGTGGAAAAAAAGTCCTGTTTAATGGTTGGTCCTAACATGTAAATTCTGACTGGATATTCTCCGTATTTCAAATTCAACTGTTCAGCTAGAAGTTGCATAGAACTTGACTAATATATTAACTACAATTCATAACGAACTTCCTTTGTAATGTCCTTTATACGTTCTATGTATTTCAGTAAGCTAGGATTTGGCCTAGAACCAAGGATCTCCCAACTAGGACTAGGACCAAACTAGGACTAGCTAGTTCTGAAAGTGATTGAATTTCAATGTACAATGGTCTATTGGACAGGAAATCGTTTGTACCATTTAATTTGACATAAACAATCAATATTTACTAAATCGCAACTTTGGCTGGAGTATGTCCTTCTTAAGCTCCATTGAATTTCAATCAGAAATAAGGTCGAATTTGATAAAACATACTAGTGGAATGCATAAGGAAAGAATCCAAAGGTCCCAAACTTGTGTCTTTCACTAGTCCTAACACTACCTTGGTCAGAAAACACCGTAAACACAGTGTTGTGTAGCGTTTTTCATACTCAATTAACATCTCCACCAACGAACGCTCTTGAACAGGATTTAATTGGGACTCTATACGGAAATATTTGGTCAGAATCCTAATGGTAATCAAATTTGAGATTGCGAGTTTAAATAGAGTTCCTTTCCCAATCTATACTTGCAATTCAATATGAGCTTTAACAGGATTTGATAAGGAAAGAACCCATATTCTCTAGACAAGTCTTCTTTGCAAAGGCGAGTCCAGGCCCGAGTGAAACCCATTGAGACCGACTGAAATTTCAGTTGAGCCTGGGTTCAAGATTCCCTAGAAAACTTTGACCTGCAATCTTGAATGACGGCCTAGATTGAAACAGATTTCATGAATAATCAGGACTTGGATGCTTGCACAACACTGTGCCAAAGTACAGCCGCGCAAAGTGCAATGTTGAATTTGGGTCTCGATTTAAACCGATTTAAATCGATTTAAGTTTAAATCGGGCATGGATTCAAGATTCAAGATTCAAGAATCCAGGCCAAACTGTTCCAGGGAATCTTGAATCCAGGCGTCCATTTAAACCGATTTAAACCGATTTAACTTAAATCGAGCATGGATTCAAGATTCAAGATTCAAGAATCCAGGCCAAACTTTTCCAGGGAGTCTTGAATCTTGAATCTTGAATCCATGCCCGATTTAAGTTAAATCGGTTTAAATCGGTTTAAATCGACGCCTGGATTCAAGAATCCCTGGAAAAGTTTGGCCTGGATTCTTGAATCTTGAATCTTGAATCCATGCCCGATTTAAATTAAATCGGTTTAAATCGGTTTCAATCAAGCCTGAAGCTTCCAGAACGTCCTTGGAAATGCTTCTTTTTCATTGCTCTCCCCAAAGCCCAAAAAAAGGTAGAAAACACTGCAAATACCAGTGAATTCATCAAAAAGGTAGGTCCCTGGGGGGGGGGTACCATATATATATATATATATATTGTGATTCGGGCACGAGCCTGTGCCCAGGCAATGGGTAAGTTGGGGTAAACAAGCCACAAAAGAAAGGTTCCCCAAAAGCAAACCAATCCCCGGTCCCAAAGATCAGGGTTTCCCACACACCAGAGAACAACAACCAAAGGAAAACAAACCAAACAAGAAAAGGGTTAACCCGCAACCTTGGTCGACAACAGGCCGCACGACTGGTCCCTACCAACCTGGCGGCGGCCCGAGGTCTCTTTCTCCCCCGAGATGCCGTCGGTCGACGCAGGGGTTCGGCGACGCCCATTCGAGGCGCGACGGAACCCAAAACTTGAGCCAAAACACCACAGGTCGGTCACTAACGCGACGTCCCTGATGATGATATGAACCATGGCTAATCACACCCCCCTCACGAGGAGCCCGTCATATGACGGGTGGAGCGTGCCATTTACTGATAGGATTTAACTGCTCGCATGCGTCCGCAAACAGCTGGACACTACCGCCGTCAGCGGTGGAGCAAACCCACAAAGGCAGTCGCGCGACATCCCGGGCATTAAATTCCCGCCACCACCCCGAATTAATCGGGGTAACGCTGTCCAACACACCTTGTGGAAAAGTCCACATGACGACACTAGGTCACAACTGTTTGCATCAACAATGCAAGAAGTTTAATTCTTATCAGAAGCCATGAAAAAGAAAGATAACGTATGTCCAATAGTACCCTCGCCTAACGGCAAGAGATACCTCTGACCATGCGTACCTGAAAAATGCTTGAATTCCGCAAACCCGGGAGTAACCCCCCATCAGTTTGCTTTCCCTCTCACTCACACTGCTTCCGGATGAACACGTCCAGCAGCTCAGCAGCGGTACGGGAGAGACATGACCTCCGCGCCTCAGCGGTCCGGGAGGAACATCACCACCTCCACACCGCGCCGACCATTGGAGAATGGACGCAAGCCTATCGGCCGCAATCCCCGTGACTCAGCCTACCGGCTATCGTCACGTCTCCTCCGGTCACGTCCGCCCCGCGCACGGTCCCTATCACGATCCCTTTCGGATCTCCTGCGATCATCTCGCCTTCGATCTCGCTCCCGATCGAGTGAATCATCATCACGACGATCACGAGCATCGTCCCTCCTCCGGTCGCGATCATCCTCGCGCCGCGGACGGTATCTGCGCCTCCTCGACTCTCTGGAATCCCTGGTGTCCACGGTCCTAACGGACCTCCGAGAAGGAGTACGGGAAACATCCGATCCCTACGCCTCCTCCCAGATCGAGAGTTCGTCACGATCTGGTTGAGAGCCTCCAGTGCCGACGCGTCCTCACCATTCCTGATGAAATCCCTGACCTGCTTGTTCAGCACTCTGTTGGTGGAGATCGACAAGAAAGCGTCCACCACCGAACTCTCAGGCAGCACCAGGAAGTGACCCTCCACCGGGCTCGCCGCAGCCCGCTCAGCAGACTGCAGCCGGATCTCCCCGCCTTCAGGCTTCTTTGCCATCGCCTTGGAGGCCGTCGAAGGCGCTACCGCATCCTTTGCCGAAGATCTGCCAAGCGCGGAGTGAAGATCATCCCCACTAGCTTCTCTCGCTGCCGCACCTGGTCTGCTGTCGACGTCGCCAGGCCTCGTGGACGCCTCCCGTTTTGTCG